GCCGAGAGACCCCCGTTGAAGACCACTGATGTAACTGTGGGACGTTAGAAAATCCTTAGATGGCCGTGTTTATTTTATATTTCTCTGTCCGTTTTCGTTCATACGCTCCTTTTCAGAACGAGTTGCTGCAGCGGATCGTGTTGTTTCGTTTTTGCTGGAACTTCCAAGTTCGCCTACATGTTCATCAATGTCGACCCGCCCAATTTACTCAAACGCCCCGGCTATGCAGTGAGGCATTCGAAAATATTTTTTTCTATTCAATATTACTTCTAAATTTTTTGGTATTGTTATGTCATATTGAATATATATATGTTTAAATCGCTAATTTAACATCTAAGTTAGCTGTATTGTCGTTAACTTGTAAAAATGCCGACAAGGAAGCGCACGTTTCCCAATAACTTGAATTACTAGTAGGCGAAATCAAAACCAAGGCTTGTCCAAGCCTCACTATTCTTTATTTTATACATATTGTAAGCCTAATAATAACGAAATACATTACCGAAATAATAGTAATATATTAAAGAATATTTTGTCAATTTCATTCACGAAACTTTCAATCAAGGCGATTGGGCCTCGTGTTTTTCTGATAAAAGTATTTCCTCACTCGAGCCTGCGTGGGCCTAAATGTCTGGTCCGGAACTTTTATGTACCATGCTCAATAGCCACTATTTGCGAAGCCGCTATTTGAAATTAAATCTAATTTCCGGAATAAGTGACTCAAAAAAGTTAGGCGCGTGATATTACTTTTGCTCAGCTTCACATCATGAACATATACGGGTTTCCCATTTGTGGGTTTGGAATATTTAAATTTCAATAGAGCGAGATGGAGAAATATGGCACTTTTTTACTTTGTGCACGTTTATTACAAACTTGGTCCATCCGCCAGTAAATTGGCCGCTCCCACATAGGAGGGCACCAAAATCGCTCATGAAAATAAATACAATGAAGGTTTTAATCTGAAAAAAGAAAGAAATTGTACACGCAATGAAGTATATTTACATCAATAAAAAGAAATTCTACAGCTTATTTCACTGGGCTAGAACCTTAGAGAAATATAAATAAAAAATACCAGAACTATTGCTATTTATTTGGCAAATGGCGCGTTATCCGGCGGATGTATATTTTTAAAATAAATCCAAATTGAAATCAACGCCACAGTAACAGCTAACTTGCTGAGTAAAACACACAAAAATATTAATAAATAACAAATATAGGAATTAGCACGACAAACTGGAATTAGAGCAGACAATCCAGAACCCGAAAAATCAACTTTCTTTATCATTTTTTCAACATGAGAATCAATGAACAAATATAAGAATTATGAGGGCTGAAGTTGAGTACAAAATACAAAACCCAAAATTGAGGATTAGTTCACGGAACTCAATTTTTATACCCAAAACACGTAATCACCACAGTTATGAAATTACCGTTGATTTTCCGCTCGACTGCCAAAACGTGAAGCGCTGATGTTAGAAAAAATTAGAAAAATTAGATTTTTTTTGGTAATGCAGAGATAAAGTGAAAGTGAACTTATAAAGTAATCAAGTCACATTTTTAGAATTGAAATTTTTAAATTTTTGTCATTATGGACCATAGAGGTCATTTATTGTTCTGTGCATGCTTTAGTTTCGATTTTAGGTTATGCTCTATGTCAATTTTTTAGGTTTGGCTGTTAGAACCAAACTATTAAAATACAATATTTCTTTATTTAGAAGTATTGATGTAAGATTGATAAAACTCATTTGTATTGTATTCGTCCACCGGCACCATATGTACTTGAAATATTTAAATACCGAATTAAACATGTTTATTTAAGTCTAAAAGTGCTATTGAATTTGTCTCTCTTTTATCTTCAATCTTTCGAAATGCCAAAGTGTATACACTATCAGCAAAAATTTAGAAAAGATTGGCTTGAGAAATGGTTTGTCTATTCAGATGTTAAGAACAAGGCTTTTTGTAAGTTCTGTAGGTGGGAATTGAATTCTAGGCAATGATGTTAGCTTCTTCGACATCTAATATTACTGTATTATGGTTACTTCTCATTAAATTCAATGACTTCATTTCTATATGTATTTCTAGATGTGTTATTTTTCAATCTGAATGTTTCTAGATGTTTTTCGAGGTCAATCTAGATGTTTTTAGTCAGGCAAAAGTGACAGCCCTGCAGTACCAGCCTGTATATTTACAGAAGGAAACCCAAACTGTTGCCAGTGAGGTTGATAAAAGAGTCTAAAATCTCTTGAATATCACGATTGATCATATCTTCACGCTTGTTCGCATTGGCGTGGTTATTATGTCTGAAAATATCGTTCGTGTGCTCTGGTCAAGGCATATTATTTTGGAACGTTGATTGTATTGTTTGCGTACTGACTGATTTTTCAAGTGTCTTAGCAAATATTATTTTGATTCATTTATTAGTATGTTCACAGGGTGAGTGCAAAATAGAATATAGAATGCGTATAAGTTGGTTTGAATCGGAACGATATCTCACAAGTTAACCTTCAAAACGCTACACGAACTTGGATTTCTAGGTTTAGACTCTTGTTCTGAAGTGCATGGACGAGAATAAAAGAGAACCTTTAGAATCTATAAGTGTAATATAACATATGCCCTTAAAAAAAAGCTGTTTGCCGTTAAAAAACTTTGCTGTTAAAATTTGTTGTAAAACTTTGTAAAAGCTGTTAAATAAAAATAAATAGCTGTTTGAGAAATTTTTTGCTTTTCTAGCAGCCACCCTGTAGTTAACATATTTTGGCTACAAATTCTATTTGTATAGAAGTGTTTTGGGTTTTCCGAATTATTCCAAGAGAATAAAATCTTTTGTAGGAGTCAAGTCAAGGGATTTGCTCGATCTGGTTCTTGGAATGCAGTGATAATTATTAAACTTATTCTTGTTTTTAACGTGAGCGGACCATGGAAGGACATGAATAACGTGCACGCAACTGATAAACAGCGTTATATATGGTATTTCAAAGGTTATGCAATTGATTTGTGTAAAATGGGTTATGTTAATGTAGCTTACGTATAGTGACATACAATTATTTTGGTCGTTTGTGAGTTTTTAAACATCGCGTCGGGAGTCAAGTTGAATCACGAGTCATTCAAGTCTTGTACGAATCAGAATTCGAGTCAATCACTTTATTAAGTCTCACTGGCGGTCAATTGAGTACGAGTCTAATTGATTTCATTCAGATATCCAGGTAACTTTGAGTCTTTGATGAATGGTTACTAGTGTCGAACTCAATTTGGGATAAGAACTTGAGCACTCATAACACTGGGTAAAGTCGACTTTATAGCATAACATATTGGTTTTCAACCTTTTTATTGTAGGGAAACCCCAATGAAGCATTCCAGACGCTCGAGGAACCCCTGTGCAATAGTTTTATTGTCTTTTATTATCTGCAGTAAGTAAACTAAAAAGATGAATAAAAAAACCTATGTCTGGCAAAACAAAATTATATTCAAATAGTATTAAGTTTTTAATTGTAAGGGAAAACCCCGTCGATGATCGATTTTATATTTAAAATATAGATATATTATTATAGACTCTTTAATTCGAAGGGAAACTTGCGGGACCCGCGGATTGTACTGGTGCAAACCTGGGGTTCCGCAGATCCTTGGTTAAAAATCATTGGGGTAGCAGAATAAGCAGATAACAGACGTGATAACAAATAGGAAGTAAATAGTTTCAGGTGCATGGAATTGAATTGTTGAGGTACACGTAATTGTTCAGTGATTAAGTGAAACATCCTGTGACGGCGAGATGTCGAGAAATTTTCTTGCCCCCACGGAATTCGAACCCGGGAACCGACGTTTGGGAATCAGCGCTGGTGTAAAATTGTAAGACTTATATAACTAACTTTGTCATTTCTGTTGCACTAAAACCTGAGTTACTTATGTCGCATTTTTCAGAAATGACATTTTGATCTTCTGTCTTCGGAGCTGTTCATGTTTTAGTTTAAATAAGGTTTGTTCTTTTTCGTCCTGGTCGCCCTGCAGATTTATAATGAAGTAAAATCCGATTAACAGACAGGTAACAAATATGCAACAGTAGGTAGTTGGCTTCAAATAACCCGAATCGATGACAAATGTTATCATTGGGAAACGGTGCTATATAATGGTCTTGAGTCATGATTTTAATAAGGAGCAATTTCCGTAAATAGAAATTAGGCTTGTTACAATTACATTCTATATTGAATCAGCAACATGCAGATGATAAATTGTGCGGCACGCGGATAAGTGATAATTTTGAATAGTGGGGGACCCGCGAAACGAGTTTTTAAATTGGTTTAATCTGGTATGCAAAAGTAATTCTAATCTTTTTAGCGTTAAAAAGGTTATACCTGATGCCTATGACGTTTCAATGTCCCCTAACAGCAAGCTTGAAAACTTTTGTGCCTGCAACTACAAAAAGCCTATGTCAAATAGAGCCCGCGGCTTTGCCTATAGTTATTTGTCCAACTGTATTAAAGGTTGCACACCCATGGATTTTAGATTGTAGGTATATTAACTTGCTCTCATTTTTGTGTTTAGCTGTTGGAACCAAACTAATACAATAATGCGATTTCTCAAACCTTAAAATGTTACATGAGCTACTTTAGAGTTTTACTGCGACAATAGCTATTACCGAGTCAGTGGTTTTGCATCTCTTCTATAAATGGTCTTCCCACGCTTGGTTGAGAGCTGGGGATCGTGCGTCGAGCAAACTTGCGTGATTATACTTAGAGAAAAATCGGCGCTCCAGATTCGGTATGTGTACCAATATTGAGGTAACTAATTTCGTTTGCCTACTTTACATCAAGTTGTATAAAGGGACTGAAGCCTATGGGCTATATATTGACTTGGATAACAAAGACAGCCCCTAACTCGTAATGGAACTAATGTAAGCAAAATCGGAATAAAATTATGCCGTAAACATACTACAGTGTACCGAAAATTCGCGTGAATGAATGCGATTTTTATATTTTATTCTTTATATTTTTTATATTTTATTTGATCAGGACCTTCGAGTATAATGAAAAGATTCAGATATTTTGTATTTTACTTTGGGATACCTGCACTTTTCGTGTTGGTATTACTCAATGCATTAGCATATAAGCAACATATTGTAACTGTTGTGAAGAGCAAAGACGCTGAGATCTCACAAAACTTTGCTCAGCTACATAGACTGTCTACGACAGTAATAACCAAGACAAATGAAACTCAAAAACGGTGTAGTTCAGAGAAATCATCAAACAGTTATAGCAATGGGGAACTTATGAACATTTCGGACCAAGAAAAGTTAGTCTCGGAGGCAAAAAAGAACATTTCGGACGAATATAATAACTCAAAAAAATATGAGCGAACTGCTAGTGATAGCACTTTAACGCCGAAGGATTCTTTGGAATATTGCATGAGATTTTTAAGCAACCCAGTTAATGGTTTGCAATCAGACATACTTGGAGAAAAGTCATACCAACCCGTCCCAGATCACACAAGTGACGAGAATATATTAGCTCTTCTCGAAGATGGATGCGAGACATTTGGAAAAAGGTATGTGTCTGTGTGAATAAATTTGATTATTTTTTGTTACGCCTATTTACGTATGTCGCTACGAACGAGGACATGTACATGTAGCTTTCAAACAGAACCATACCCATATCAAAGGGGGGATTATGAAATTTTTAATTGCTAAGTTAGACCGTAAAATCTAGCAGGCCCGGTCGACCCTCAGCACCCTCCCCTCATGTCTACGCCCCATACCTTAAACCCCCTTGGTTAAGTCCCTGAAAAAGTGTACATCTTGGCCCCACGTTCATGTCCCCATATTACCGAAGGTGTGATGAATTGAGTACGCAATGACAAACTGCAAGGATTTCGGTCATTCTAAAAATAAATAGCTCTTTAACACAGGGCCTTGTCCGGAGCGAAATACGGGAATGCGCGTCAATCGAGGCTAAATATTACAGAAGTTTGGAATAGCAGAATTATGGCGGTTAGTGTCAACTATAATCATATGACATGTAAATTATTACTTACAATGTCCGAACAGACTTATGTACCAAGTCGGCGGAATACCGCATCGTTTTCATACGCTCGGGTCCCTTAACAGTGGTTCGCGGCAATGTATAACACACGAAGTTTTTACTGTACAAATCGCTGGCAAGAAGTGGCCGAAGTGTGGCCTGTGCTTAAACAGTGTTTACCGACATTCCTGACATTGTAAAAATAAACGAAAACTGTGGCGAAAATAAACGAAAATGTCCACGAATCGCGGTATTTCAATGCAATTACGTGTGGTATGTCAGTTTATGTTTGAATATAATGGCAAAGTCTTTGATTAAATCAAAATTATAACCAGAGTATCTTACTGATATATTTAGTGTTGAATTTGCGTCATGTTGTTGGAACAGAAAGGAAATGATTGACGTAAACTTACGCGTTTTTTTAAACGATAATGATCTTGTATAATCATGAATGAGTTTTGAAAATGCAATACTTTGAAATCATGGTGTGACTCCTGAACAATGCAATGGCAATTAGGTTTAAACGATCTTTTATTGGCACAGGAAATTATGACAATATTGCCTGGTTATTAGTGCTATATGCTATGCTATAGGAGTGCACAGGAGGTTCATTTATGTAACATTCAGACATGATGTTCATTAAAACATGCATGTCTGACAAAGTTGTCCATAATAATCCTGTACAATTTGCATAAGGCATATCGCTCCCAATCCATTGTTTTAAAATAAGTGCCAGAGTTTAAACGGAACTCTCGGACTCATTTGTCTCAATAGGGATCTTTTCTATATAGCTCTCGCCCCCTAGTGCAAAAATGTTAGATTTGAGAAAAACACCCCGCAACTTTTCGAAATATAAAATTAGTAAGTATCTAATTTGAGTTAGGGTTAGGAATAATTTGAAAATTTGAATTATAGCGCATTTTGCATTCCTAGCCCTAACTAAATAATCACGTTCAAAATTGAAAAAATTACAATTCTTGTGACGGTTCTGCTTTCAAATCTACTCCTCAGCTGCAATTTATTGTTGTCAATTTTCAAGACAACAAATTATTTAAGACACATCTCTTTTATACAAGAATTCTGTCTTAAAAACTCAATTAAAGTCTTAAAAACTCAAATTTAAAATTGAATATGGGTTAAATTTTTGGTACTCCCGTATAGTGTGTGTACCAGGATAAGGTTAGGCCATAGTTTTATTCCGATTTTTCTCATTTTAGTTTCCTTACGACATGGGTCTGCACATTTCATATATTTTTGTGGTTTTAATATCGATTCTGGGTTAATTTTTATTTGGTTCGGTTCGAGTTTTGTTCGGATTTGTTGTGGTATTGATATCTTAATTTTTTAAAGACTTTTGAATGACTAGAATAAACAGTTTTGTTTCAAAAGTGGCCGATGAATATTATATAGACTCCGCTGTAAATATACAACTAGGAAATATTTTATAATTATTGTTTCAAATGATTTGATTCGAATTTAGTTCATCCGATATCTTATGTCAAATTTCTCTCAAACATAAACTAACTTCAAGATTAGATTTCAGCGCGTCCCTCGTAGCTTGGAACATTAATACAGTAATTATTCCATTATTAATGAAGACGCATGACCTTGCATGAAAACTTGTTTCGATATAACTGAGATTTATAGCAACATCTTGTTCAAGCATTCCTATTAAAACAGACCTATTCAAAGTAGGAGTGAACAATATGAAAGCTTGCAGGACCATGTAGTTTGAAATATATGTACCTATTTCCTGAAGGGTTGTTTCACCTTCACGTTGGTAGCTAGACAATAAGTGGCTAGACAAAGTATATATATTTAATAAATATATCTTTTTGCCTTCAATAAAATTTTACGGTGCACTACAAGAAGAAAGGATGTATATGAGGCGCGTTGAATTATACAAACATCTTTTGTTTGAATTTTGTGTTTAGTTTGGAATCATAAAAATCGTAAATATTGTAAAATACAATGAATGACTTGATATATTTTGCTGAATAAAATGAATACCTGACTCCTCGTACGCGTACCGTTCACCACAAAAAGTCGAAAATTTTGATTTATCTCACCGAGTAAAGTCCAAAAAGAAATAAAAATACTATTTTCTAATGTCTCATATTTAGCTGGTTTGAAGAATGAATCAATAAAATATTTTTATGCAAAGTGAGGGAGAAATAGAGTGTTTCAAAATAGTCAAAGAAAGAACTCCACAAAATAGGTTGGGACACTCTGCTAGAATACAAGCAACATAGGTCATAATATTGTGCCAACGCTTTTATTATTGAGGAATAAATATATTAATCCGTGCGCAGTGTGTTTTCAGCAATATGCCATCCTGTCGTCTTGTTTGTACTAATGATTGAATGAACATTTGAATACAGAACTATATAGTCTACTCTATATTAATTAATATTTGGTCGGACATAACAAGGCAAGAGAATTTGCTTGTACGAGTAAGGGACTGTGTTAAATTAGGTTATTCAGCGTTAAACAAAACGCTCATCTATATTGGTTTCACTTTTGTTTAATGGGTGTGTACTTGCGTGTCCACCTCTGCTGAAACAATAGTATAACGCGTCGTATGGATATGATATTTAATGGAATTGTTCCATATGTCTCATAACGCTTGAGATTTGATATTATGATGAAAACATTTCAGTGTACTGTTATGCGAATATACTCACTGCTCTGTTCGTTGTATATAAATGACATTTTCCATTATATTATTCAAATACAATTTTGAATATGAAGTATTTGAAAACAGAGATTTTTATTTTGCGAAAGCATTGTAAGTAACGTTAGGTCACTGTATATTCGAATATAACAATTTATAATTTGTGAGGCATTTTCCTCGGGGCATAACATGGCCATGTTGGGTTATGAATGTTACTTAAATGAATGTGCTTGTGAATAATGCGAAATAAAACAAGAGAGCAGTACTCAAATATCTGTACACCAAGACCAGAACAAAGTAGTATCAAATCTTTCACAGTGGGGTTACAAAATAGAGAGCACACAACTGGATGATATTTTAACATAAATAAAATTAATAGTGTCACGTGTTGTCTAGCCAAACACATAAGGCATATATAAGAAGCTTTATATATTATTCAGCAAGCATTTATTACGGATGACTTCTCAGTCAACAGAAACAGTCAGATTAACATACAACCAACACAGCCTAACACAAACACAGAATACTAGTACACGGCATGTCTACAGAGAACATCACTAGCGTGAAGGTCATCTTCAGTGACCTTTGACCTAACATGATCACTTATCATGACAAATAGCATTTTAGCAACAAAAACAAGCTTTAACCACTGCAAATTTCATAACAATTGGTCTAGTAATTGAAGAGGAAATCTTTTTTTTACAACAATATAACGGGATAGCGATCAGAGACCGCCGACTTATCGATCAAGAGGCGAGTATCCTTCGCTCTGACTCAATAGCGACAACGTGTGTTCCGTCACTAATTAATCAATACCTTGCAACTCGCCAATTATACGACATAATTCATCCAAAATCAATGGGATTTTGATCCAAGATATCATGAATGCACATGCAAAATATGGAGCAGCTTAAACCTCGCTTTCGTGAGATATCGCGTGTTTCTAATAGACAAACAGACAGACAGACAAACAAACAAACAAACAGACAAATACCTATCAACCTACATACCGATCAAGATCGATAGGTAATACCAAAACGATCTATATGTCCATTTCATGTCCAATGAATACGTGGCATCTTATAACGTATATGTAATAGCAAAATATGGCGACCAAAATAGTTATCAATTTTTATCTACGTTACTGAGTAAGTTTTAAAATGAGTAAGCAAGGCTGGATACATGTTACAATCTCTCTCGTTAAACAAGGTCGAATGTTACAATAAAATTTAGAAACCTGTTTGCTGTTGGCGTCAACGGCAGTTGCACACAAATTATCTTTTGTTTGTATAAATGAAAAGGAAGCTGTTTGAATTCTGTTGTTTCCCAAGCACTTTACACAGCTGATAATTTTGTACATTCGAACCTGTTTCATAAATTCGAACTCACATGCAATTCCTGGATGCAATATATCTGTGAATTTTTTTTAATCAGCATAGCATTTCATTCCGTGAGCAACGTCACTACAAATTTCAGAATATGCATCCACAGTTAAAACCTGAAAGCAATGAAAGAAATTGTGAGAATACAAATTAATAAAAACACGGTTGTGGGGACTTGGAGGTTTATTATGTTTTAATTCAGGGGTGTGTGACCTGTACCCCGCGGGCTAAATGTGCCCCAGAAGGAAATATTGTGCGGCCCGCGAAGTGTCACTTTGGAATTATGTGCGGCACGCAAATAATCTCGTAAATTGCATGTGATTTGTTTGATTATCTTACTGTATTGCATTTAATCTTTTATATTTGTTTGTTGGCTTTTTAATATTAAACGTGGCAAACAAAATAATAAAATACCTTTGAACAAGGTTAGGAACAAAGGCCTGAAGGAATTCGAACATTGGTGCAATAGAATAATTGGATTTAAAATTCAGATTTCAATTCAATTTCACTATCATTTTGGTAGGATTGGAATCTTTCCGATTTGGTATCTTCAACCCGATTTATGCCATCATAATTAAGTTTAAATTTTATTCATTGAGATATAACAGGAATATTCATTAAATTTTATTCATTCAAGTTAATTATTCATTGTTTGTTGCACTGCTGGGAAACGAGTAGAATTTAAACAAATTTGCGAATCTGTTTACATTGGCTAACCGTTTTCATCTTATTTAAGTCGCACACTCGATAGAAGGTTTGGGTAAACAAGAGCTAAACTAATAGCCAGATCGCTGGGCATTTCTTGGACCAGAATATTTTATTCTCCAAATCATATTTACATAGTTGGTCGCACTAGTCACACTTCCTATATATCAACTGTTATGATTTTGTGTTTCTTATTGAAAGATAGGTGAAACAGATCAAATAATAAGCTCTGTGGGCCATGATAATGTGAAGATGCTTTATTGACTCTTACTTGCACTCTTCTTTGCACTCTCATTTTAACAATACTCTGGGCGAGGTGTTTGAGCTTGGGTGAAGAACTCGGTTAGCAATGATCGAATACACCCAGTGTCAAGTTTTTGGAATTCGTATTTGTCTTTGTTCGGCTCCACGTTTAGGAATTGGTAATAAATACGGAAATATCTTTAGTACAATACACAACATACTAGTAACAAGCTATTTTATGAATGGAACAAAAAGACTATAATGCTTTTGTCCGACTGAAATGGAGAGTGTAATTATGCTCTTTTTCTTGTTTCTGTAGTTGTCATTATGCTTTTTTTTTTGGACCAATTACTTTGGAATTTTCAAAGTCGTTATGTTATTATGTTAATGTTGTGAAAAAAAATCGCTTTTCTCTTTAATTACTGTACCAGTTGCTATAAAATTCCCAGTGGTTAAAGCTTTTTTTGTCGCTAAAATGCTATTACTTTTATTTATTTCAAATATTTTAAAAATATTTGTGGGCTATACCATGGGATTAATTTTTCACCCCGAAGATTTGTTTGATGACCTCTCAAAATTGAAAATTATACGATTCCGTGATGACACCCTAGTGATCCGGTGGTCAGACTACGGTTACCGTAAAACATTTAATACTACTTCGTTCTGGCCATAGCTTCTATAAATTTGAGAAGAGCTCTCTTGTTCCATCCTCGCAATATTTACAAGATATTTTTTATAAGTAACATGCCAAACCAAACATGGACCGGTACGAGCAGACACAGATATCTAACGACGTAATAAGATACTACTTTATTTTTATTTATACTATTTGAAACTTTACTCGTTGAAATTAACCAAAAATTATTATTTTTCGTGTTGAACATACGATTAAATACACGGTGCGAGGAGTCAGATATTTATTCTGTTTTGCAGTACTCTTAAATCACCTAGGATAGTTTTTAGAATTTGTAAATATTTTGCATCTTGCATCTTTAGGAATACATTTTTTCTTGTTCATTAGATTCGCTCTTATCATATTTCCATTGATTAAAATTTAAAAAACAAAGTGCACAGATGAAAAAACCTCTTGAATTTAAATATTGTGATATTTAAATGCACCGTGGCCTAGCGTTAGGCCTTATAACAATGCAGCTTTCATATTCGGTATTTTCTGAATTGTATTTGAATATTAGAATTGAAAAGGTCATTTGTGTTTAACGAATAGAGCAGTTAGTATATTCGCATAATTGTACATTGAAATTTTATTTATTTTTTTATTTTATATAAAATTGAATTTTAAGTGTTAAGCAGCAGTTGTGGTACATATGGGACAATCCTATAAAGTACCATATTCATGCGACGCGTTCCGACGCTATTGTTTTAGCAGAGGTGAATACACGAGTAGACACACATTAAACAAAATGGGGACCTCCTGAAGTATGCGCATCAAGATGGCGCACACCCTGAACTCAGGTTGTGAACCAAGTTAGGTTTCAGGTTGTGCGACATCTTGGTGCGCATAATTCAGGAGTACCCAAAATTGGACAAACAGATGCGGAATATCCCAATTTAACACCGCCCCGTACTCGTACAAGCAAATTCTCTTGCATTTTATGTCCGACCAAGTGGAAATAATACCATATTAATTAATGACTATAAAGTTTTGCGTTCAAATGTTTATTTTATTATCAGTACAAACTAGACGATAAGATAGCATACTGCTAATAACACACTGCGCACGGACTAGTTATTACTATATTACTATTACCCTATTTATTACTCAATATGCGAATATTCCGAATATAAGCATTGGCACATAATTATGACCTATGTTGTTTGTATTATAGCAGTGTTTCCCAACCTATTTCGTGAAATTCTTTCTTTGACTGATTTGAAACACTTTATTTGTCCCTCACTTATCATAACAATATTTTATTTATTCATTTTTTAATGGATCTTAGATATAGTGTTATTATGCGCAAGCCGCACACCAGCTTTTACACAATAATTTAAGTAGTATATAATCAGTGAATAAAGAAGTATTATAGTAATATCATAATTATGTTATCAAGCCTGTCGTAAATAATAGCAGATTTTGCTCTCACCAGCCTTGAACGATTACTTGGTTATAACTTTACAAAAATCTTTAAAGCATCAAATATAAAAATTTCAAATTTTTGAAAGCAGGTATCAGTTGTTATATGATAACTTGTTTACCGGGGCTGTTATTAGAGAAACTCGGGTTGCTATACATTGTACAAAATATTGTCTTTTTTTTTCAAAGTATTTGTGGTTTAAAAACGTTTTCCAATTTTATGAGTTTTATTGAATTTAGTGTATTTGTGCAAACAGGTGGAATAAATTGGGTAAGCAATGCCAAACCAGAAGGTTTCCCTCACTTCCAAAGATAGTTGCCTTTAACACTGACACTGACAAACTACGCCAGGCGGGAAGTCTGGCCCGTCGATTAAATCCATCTGTGCCGCTTAATGCTGCCACAACAATACTAGAAACAAAATTTTGATGGTTTAGTTAAATATACCTCAAGGAACTTAGTGACATAAAATGTCACTTTCAAGTCCTATTTACATGGCCCGTTAGTTTAGATGGTTTCATATACGCTGGAACTACAGTAAGCCTGCCCAGCAACTGTTCCTATGGTATCTCGATACTTAAATAGATATTTTATTACAGCGTTTCCTAATCTGGGCCTTGTTATTCTTTGTGGGCGACGGGGAAAGTCCGCACTCGCTACGATTTGGGATGACTAAATTGATTTGAAGAAAATTTACTGTGAGTTGCCTGAATAACTGGGCCATATGACATAAAATCTCCTGAACCCCCTCTCGGCGTTATTCTCTCGTTTTTGTGATATTTTATTTGTTTTCAGGTTTTTCTTCATGACCTCGGAAGAAAACTTTCAATACGTCACTAAAGAAGAAAGAAATTATCCAATCGCTTACTCTATCGTGACTCACCGCCAATTGAATCAACTTTCTATGCTCCTTGGTGCTATCTACCGGTCTCAAAATTTGTACTGTATACATGTTGATGCAAAATCTAATCAAACTTTAAGAAATGGTGTAAAACTTATATCTCAATGCTTCCCTAATATATTTTTGTCATCAAAAACTGAAAGGGTCATTTATGCATCGTTCAGTAGGCTTCAGGCTGATGTCAACTGTATGAGAGATCTATTGGCAGTTCCCAAATCTATGTACAATTGGAATCACTGTATAAACCTGTGTGGTCAGGTAATTGTTTATAGTTATATACCGCTTATTCACCTTCCGCCCTATAGGAGGCTATGTACGAGCACCGCTGCCATTATTTAACAATATATATGTACTTTTACTATTATAGTATGGAAAAACCTTAATTATTCTGGTTCGGCATTTTCCTCTTATTCAACCACACCCTGAAACGTGGTGAAATGAACCCGAGATGCGATGCAGGGTGAACTTTGAACCCGAGAACAATTCAGCTGCTAGGTCGTGGCATGAAAGAGAATCTGAAATTTGAATGGAAAGATGCATACCTAAATGATGGTGCTGATACGTAACCCTTTATTTCCAAATAATATGGGAAGCAGAGGATTCGATATTCATACTTATTTCGCGGGGGAAAAAACTAAATCATATAAAGCACCGCGGTTTTTCGTCTGCTCCCCTGTTAGGAATAAAAATATTCATCCAGATAATTGCTTTATATGCATGAAATTTCCCCGTGGGGAACAAAATTAGGCACCCAAAAGTATATTAGGGTTAACAGATTGTGCACTTCTTGTGCGGCTGCCAAAAAATTAAACCTGCTATCTGTATGGTATCATACATCTCTGTCGAGAAGGTCATCAAAATGTCAGCAAACTAATTAAGTGATAGATTCGATGTTTTCTGTGATTTATTGTTCGCAATGACCTATTACAATGAAAAATTCCAATTTACTACTGATTCTATTCTGAGTGAGTGCGTAGCCTTGCTTTGAGAAAACTCTTCACATCAAAGATTTCCATTTTGATTCTATTCTACTTCTGGGTGAGAGCGCGGGATCTTGCCTAGAGCAAGTTTCCTTACAATAAATTATAATGATTTTTAGGATTTTCCGGTCAGTACTAACTATGAAATAGTTCAACAACTGAAAGCATTGAAAGGAAAGAACACTGTTGCAGGAACAAGGGAGTTGAACGACATTGCAAGATTGAGAACCAACTTCGTGTACAGGTACAAGAAATTTGCGGGAGTAGCGTAACAGAGCGACCTAGTTTTAGTTCACTTCAACTATATCTTGTAGTATTTGTACAATGGTATAGAAAAACATAGATAACTTTTTACCTAACCTTTAACCCGATTATTTGTCGTAAATTACTTAACATGGAATTTGAATAACAGACTGACTGACTCGACGCTATCTTTATCATATTTTGAGATGAAAAGATTGATTTAACGAATTAAAAGATTGATTTCACTCACTTAATTCAGGTCATTCCTAGTCAGTCAGTCAGTAGTTTATTTTATCTCATGTCGAAAGTACACATTGTACAAACATAATTGAGAAAGATAAAAAAAAAATACAGTGTGAAGCGAGACGCTATAAACCAGTGATGGTTATCGATCAGCGTCCCCTATGCCACAGAGCCGGTGACACAGAGTTGGTCTGATCCCTTATTGCTAGCAAATACAACCATTATGAATAACTAACTTTCTAATTTTAATTTTAAGAATTCATTTATACAGAACTCATTTCCGTATCCATTCTAGTTTAGGTTCGGCTGTCAGGTCAGTCGTCTAAGCCTTTGATTTTTACCTAGTGCGTTGACAAATACCACCAGCATAATATCGTCACGCTAATAACCGAATTGCGTAAGTCATTTTTAGCAGTTTTGAGAAAAACGTAAAAAACTTCCTAATGATATTGTTATGCAATTGAGAGTCAATAATTTGCCATGGTTCAATTTTTGATCGTGGCCGGATTTAAGTTAATTCGTATGACGCAGTTAGGTGACGTCATAATGGCGCACTGTGACTTAGGCAGAAATGTGTCTATGACTTTGAGACATACGCAATTTTGCAACTTCACTATATGCACCAGTCCTGGAAACTAAACATTCCAAAAACGAATGTAATTCTCAGTATCTACTATGTCTAATCTCCAAAATAGCTAATCAGTTCCAATTACATTATTTTTTATGTGTAAAAATATATATTTCATCAATACAACACCTCCCCCCCCCTCCAGAAATAAGACTTAGATTAAATATAAAGAATAAAACAGCAATGCACCCAATATAAAAACCAACCAAGGTGAATTAGACTCGGACGGAGAATATCACAAGCGCACGTCTTCCTATACTGTAGTATAAATTCAAATTAATACGTGCTAAGCTAGAATCCAAGATGCAAAAACTCGAAAATTCTTCGCCGAGGTTATTTTACATTTGTGACGTCACAATAGTCCTGCGATAACAATGATAATTCATTATGACGAAACAATTGCACAAATGTGCATGTCATACTAAATCTCCATTTTTATGGGTTTCGGAATTCTTAAAATAAAATCTGAGTGAACAGACAGGTGCGCAGCATTACATAAATACCTATTTTATAAAAAACTCAAAATCGTCAAAAATGACTTACGCAATTCGGTTATTAGCGTGACGATATATAAACAAATAAGTTTATAATTTAAAGTTTCATGAATCCATTTATTCAGGGTCATAAATGTCACAAATGAACGGAACGAAACGATTGAAGTCGACTCTAAAACGTTCGAGAAGCATCGGCCACCTCCTTATAACATGACTGTGATCAAGAATCTCGCATATAACACCCTAACGAGAGAATTCCTTCAGTGGGCGCTAGTGGATAGCAAAGAAGGTAACATAAATGGTCTCCTTCTACCGTTTTCCTTGTTAGACGCTAGGTATCCATATGGATTATTGTGCTAATTTTTCCTGGTCCGCGGATAAACTAACTATAACAAACTAGTATCACCCAGATAAACTATCCCCAATGGATAAAATACCAACTGTGCATCCGATCGGCATTATTTATAATGTAGTCTATTAAAAAACTGGCTTAGCTGGAATGCCATTATTTATGATTTTACTTATATCACTCTTTCATGCCATGGTTGTTCATTGTTGATTTATTGAGGTTCAATTTCATATTTATCAATTAAATAAAAAATAATCTTTCTGTGTGTGAGAAAAGAAGAATTAATTACTGGTAAAAGTATCAAAATTTTGGAGAAAATATCTTTAGGAACATGTATTTACAAAACATTTCGTTTACATATTTTACCATTTTGCCTTCTTATATATTCTTTGTTTTTACCTCAGGTGCTGATCTTTTAAATTGGTCTTCAGTGACCCACACACCGGATGAGCATTTCTGGGGAATGCTTAATGCATATCCAGGAGCCCCGGGAGGTTCAAGTTATGTTTCCTGGTGGCAAGTAGCCCGTGCAGTCATGTGGAAGAATAACAAAGCAAATGATATATGCCATGGTACTATATATTTCTATTTTTATTTTGAAATCTAATTGTTTCAATTTAAGTTTCAAATTGTCTCTTAGTACTATTGTTGTGTTGTGGTGTACATGGCAACCCAATTTGCACATTACGGGACAAGTCAGGTAGCGGTTGGTTCATATATATATATCTATGTATATCAATTCATATTCCTAATCAACTGTCTATGTGCCCAATATGCCCTCTACAGAAAATGATATTCATAATAAGATTAGTATCTAATATGTATTCTTATTGCTATCCTGCTGCATATATCCCTGCATAGCGACTCAATAGCATCGTATATAGAAGACCATTCAAATGTCCAAAATTCTGTTTCCAATCCTTTCTATATATGCAGTCCAACAGCAGAGCCCACTTATATAATGAATGGGATTCAATATAAATCTCTGAGGAGAAAGCCCCCAAATGGCGATAGGGGCGATATATTCCTATTTCAAACCTGCTGTCCATATGGCAACGTACTTATACTTCTAAGAAACAGATTATATGAGCTGGAGTCATATACCTATTCAGGCACTATTCCTTCCGCCTAGCAATATTTCTACGCAAGTTCTTGTCAGTAGTTTTTCTACTTTTTGGAAATCACTTCTAAGCTGGTTCCCTATTTTTGTCTGAAATCCATCAATTTAGTGCCAATCTATGCCTAATATTCGTTTATGCGAAAATAATCCCCCTTGTAGCTCGCCTGGCCTAAAAAATAGGAGGCCACTCAAATTGCTTTCGCGTCCATACATCTATATAGTGTCAAGATAGTTATATTGTTATAAAAAAATCAATCCGTATTTATTAAAGCATCATAGACTGCGTTTCGTTAATCATTACATTGCTGGTAAGCTATTGGTTGGGATGGCCAGGGGCCCAACCAGGAATTTTTAAAATAAAGGTCTCGGCCCACAATCCCTCTCTTCCCCCTTCTCCATCTTTGATCAAACTTGCGCGCAAAATCATGTTTATTTGTCATCTATTGAAACACCAAGCTAATAAAGTTTCCGTTATTGTGTTCCAGGTTACTGGGTTCGAGGAGTTTGCGTTCTTGGAGCGGGTGACCTACCCTGGATCATGAAAGTACCTCAAATGTTTGTGAACAAATTTGACGTCACCTACGACGTCACACCCGTGACGTGTATACGGACATTTTTAAAACAAAAGACGATTGAATATAATTCTACTCTGAATAATAATAAGAAACCATTGCAACTTCCGTGGCAAATGTTGGACGGATGAAAAACTCTCTCTAGCTTCAAAAGCACAAGAAAAGTTTTCATTTTAACGTTTTTGCTATTTTCACTTTTGAACAAGGCTGTGTAGGCGCAGCCACTTAGATAGTATAAGATAGTAATATCCCGAAGCTAATATTGTTTAGAATGATTATTCTTTTTCGATTCAGCGAACCCCAGGCAAATTCATTACACTATGGAAGAGGTGATGGACATGGGTTTTATTCTGTCGTCTTTAACTTGTCAACTTTCATACATAATTCAGAATAACGATTGATCACGACGCAACCGTGTTTATTAAGCTGTCATGAAAAATAAAAATTATAAAAAAAGAATCTTAAAAATATTTGATGCATATCAAAGATTTGCACAGCATGTGAGACAAGTCTGGGTGTCTCAAAATGAAAACTACAAAAATATCACCTTGTTGTAGCTTGTAACTTTTGCGATCTAAATTCTAAATGTTCTGAATTATTCAAAATTAATTTTTAATTCACAATTAAATTGCAATTTAGTTCAACTAACTCACTGTTCTCTTTAAAAAATTTCTAAATTAATAAAATACATTAATAAACAAGAGAGTAATGCTCAAAGATGTGATCTCGAAACGAAATAGTATGGGTATGCAAACTTTCACAGTACCGGTACGGTAGTCTTTATGACTTCGACTGACCCCCCGAACGAACGAGCGCGAAGGCGAACTCGGAACGGCCACAAGATACGCCATATATAATTTTGATGTCGTCACCGTACATAAAAATGAATCCCATAAAGCCCATAGAATATTTAAAATAAATATACAGCCTGTAAGCTACAGCAACAATCTTCAACCACTCAAAATCCCGAAGCAATTGGCTCAGCAGTTGAAGAGAAAAGCGAAATGCACAGCCGTTTTAATGTAACTATGGCGATTGATATAAAACATGGCAAAGCCTAGGCACGGGTGGGCAAATTACGGCCGGCGGGCCGGATCCGACCCACAAAAGCATTTTACCCGACCCACATGTGCTTGCTAGAATTACGTTTTTATGGATAAAAATTCCCGTTGAAAATATCGATAAAAATAACTTCATAATGACACCGATTGTTACATTGTGCTTCTTATTGTTATATAAACGTTAGCTTAGTCTAGCTGTTGAACTAGCTTTTGCAAAGGTTTTAACCCATAGTTTTTCATATCGAAGTTTGAGGCCCCGGCTCATAAACTAAGTATATTGTTTGTAACTGGCCCACTCGGATAAGTAATTACCCACCCCTACCTAGTCTAGATAAAGATAGGCAGAAAACGAACATGCCATGACATGAAACTTCACATAAATGTTTATGAAAAAATTTCAGTCATAAAACTGTCTTTGTTCAAAACGCATAGCGATAGCAAACGTATGTGAGCTATTGCTGATTGCTGGCTAATTGCGTAAGAGGGATGAAAATTTAATTTGCTAAACTCATAAATAATAAATTCAGAGTTCAGAGTCGTGTTTTATTATATGCAAAGGATAATATATATATGTAAAACAGAAATGACAATCAAAATATATATGTAAGAGTATTTGTATACGTTCAAATTTGTATAATCTATTCATATTAAATGAATTAAATTTTTGAATACCGGTAGCTTTTAAGATTAGTTGTTGGAACTCCGTGGGACACTTCGTCCATGGCGTAGGTTGTTTCCAACCTCTTTTGTTAAATTCCACTTTATTCCATCCTCCCTTCACACAAAAATGTCGGCGCTCGAGAAGTATGTGTACCAATATGGAGGTAACTAATTTTTTTCGCCTACATTACATCAAGTTGTGTGAAGTGACGGAAGTCTATAAGCAAAGGGGTCAGCAAACTTTGTCGTTAGCGGGCCAAAATAAGGGTTGCAAGTCATTGGTGGGCCACACATATTTTTAGAAATATAATTTAGAAAGTTAAAAATGGAAGGAATGGTCAATGAATCCTACTTTTTTACACAGATTTCAGTTAAATTTCAAGCAGCGCGCGAAGACTGATCATTTGAATATATTTTGCGCCATCAAACCATTTGCACTGAGCATCAACTTTTTTACGTTCTGTTGCCATTTGTCTAATTATGATCAGTTTATAGAGTCATTAAACGAGTGATTGTGAATTATATACCTCTCAGGTTATAATATAATTTAGTGTGTCAAAGCAAATTCTGTCAGGTAAAGAATATAATCGTCAATACAATTGTTTTGTTAATATAATTCAGTGAAGCGTCGAGGGCCGCATTATATTGCTCCGTGGGCCTTAGTTTGCCGGCCCCTGGCTTAAGTAGTCTATATGTGTTCATAAATTGAGTATTATAGTAATGATAAAATAGTAGTATTAATACAGCAAATAATGCAAAACCCCTCCGCTAGGAACGAAAATATTATTTCTGGGAAGAAGTTCTGCCGGTTGGTTGGCTTTAGTGCCCCCCGATCCCTTCAGGTACCGTGTTTATTGGCTCATCCGGGATTTAGTATACTGCGAAGGAAGGTTGTTAAAACATAGCAAGGCTGATAATGCATAATTTCCATCGAAGCGACAGTAAAAGTATAATTATAACAAATAACGCGTAAAATACGAGCCAATGCTAAAGCAAAGTCTCTGTTTTAGTTCTCGGATTTGAAAGGTTTGTTGTTGAGTTGAAGATTCCATTTTCTTAAGTTGTATAAAAGCGAGTCACCTGGAGTTTCGTCACCCAAAAGTTATCTATTCAGAGTAAAAACTGGCTTGATACCGAACTTAGTTCATTGAGAACAACGGAAGAACTTGGCAATATAACTTAAACGGAAACAGTAAACAAATCGTTTAAATATAGACAAATCTACATGATAGCACGAGTTTACAACGACTGAGTGGTAGCGAGATAGATGCGATGATGGATACTAGACAGATAGATGCGATGCAGCAATTAAGACTTGTCGCACTCGGTTGAGTAATCATATTATGTCACACTTAGCACGCGTGAACTTGAACATTGGAACTTGAACATTTGAATTACGCAAAATATAGACAAATAAATTCAAGGCCATGTGCCATCTTAGGTTTTGTACATAAACATAAACACTTCATAAAAGGAATGAGTAACCTCCAAAATCGATGGGTACTGTGGTGGTTTTGAACAGGGAGATAGCAAGTTTGGTAATCCCGTACTCAGCTATAAGTTTGAATATTTTGTAGACCCCCCCGTTTTAATACGAAAGATTAGCTTTTATTCGTTTAGGATTCGAGTAAGAATAATTTAAAAATCTGAATTTCTAGCGCAATCTGTAATCCTAGTCCTAACCCCTAAATAATTTTATTTTATTTGGAGCGTTTGCGGGGGTGTTTCATGGCGGCGGCCTTCTACAAAATTCATCAGTTGTAACAAAAAAGAGTGTCATTTTGTCCCACCGCTCAGGACTGTATGATAATGTATTCTAAAGCTGTGTTGTCCATCGTTTCTTCCGTTACAATTTAGTGAGTTAGTTTTGGAATCGTTAGTTAAGGTCTGTCGGCAAAGTCGTACGGATTCTCCATAACCTCCTGAGTCCCATGGTTATCGTTACGGTGAAACTCAGTAGCGACGGAGTATATATCGTCAACATGGCGATCGTCTTCTTCTATTGCGACGTTAATTTGTCCTAAGTCATCATAGTGCTGTTCTTTAGCCAAACCGTGTACCCCTGTGGCGAGTCCCACAGGGCTTGTGACTCCCGTATCAGACTTTTTATTAACAACACTGTACATTGGCGGGTCTGTGTTTCCGCTTGCATCTGAGTTTGCGTCCGGATCGACGAATCCTGCATTTTTTTCTCCTCGTTTACATTCATGCATTGGCTGAAAATTTCTGGATTTAGTTCCGGGTTTGTGACACTAGAAACAGCTTTATTTTTGACGATGTCGGTTGCATCCAACTCTTTTACTGGGAGGATTTTTTTATCCTTTTTCAAATGATCAATGTTTTCTAATTTTGAAAGATCTTGATTCATTTTTGTGTAACCTGCTGCATTAGCTGCTAAATTAGATCCTAGTTCATCTTGTTTAGGTCCAACTACTTCATATTGCCTTGTTGTCTCAATATTTTCATAGGCGTACACTTCCGGGCGCAATTCCGGGTTCATCTCTTCAGTTTGGCAATTTTGGCCGTCTTGGTGTAGATTGTTTTTAACTTTTGACCTGTGATAAATTATTAAAGGTTACAGAATGAATATTGAGAAGTTTATAAATACAAATACTTATTCTGTTAGTAGCTATAAATTAGGCTTTTGGGGTTTAACTCATTGAAATTATAAAAACTTTGATATTTTTAGAAATAAAAATGCATAAAAACATTAGTTACTGAATTAAATCTACATAACTTTGAAACGTTGGATCAAAGTTAAGGTGAGAAGTAGTCTGTAACATATTTATAGAGTGCCCAGGATGGCTTAAATTTAAGGCTTAATTTTTGAAAAATACAAAAGGAATTTTTGTCGATACCAAATATTGTTTTGAGCCTAACGGATGTATTAAATGAGGTAGAATTACTTAAATAATTATTGAATAAAATACACCTAACCTGGTTAGAATATATTGAGAACTGACTTCATAACAAAATTAAAATTGTGAAGGGCCTTAATGGACACCATGTATATATACATATATATAATGAAACGTACACAACTTTTGGTAAATCAATTTGTACCAGAAAACGTTTTCAATCTATATTAATCTCTTCAAAGTCTGTATAATGATTTGAGGAATGTATGTATAAATAATAATGATACCGGAGCAGAAAAATTACCTTATCAAGCATATAATCGCAGTGGCTGCCACAACTCCAAAAATTATTGTCAAAGAAAGAAGAATACTTTTTTCCGTAGGTGTGTCATTTGCTTCGGTTGCTGAAATTAGAAAAGACGAATGAAACAGCTATTGATACGTTAGAACTTCGTTGCATCGCTGTTAAAAGATCTCGGGTTAAAATCACATTCCCCTAAACCTCAGGGTGTAATAAATTGTGTCGACAATTACGAACCGGAATGATTCCGTTAATTTCTAATAACAGTAGCTCCATACATAGATAAGGAAAGGCAATAGATAAGAAGAAAAGAAAATAGATAAGAAAAGGCACAACTACACAGAAGGTCCCCAAAGCCCCTCCGCAATTTCAATTTTGTTATAAAGTCAGTTCTCAATATATCTTAGCCAAGTTTGTTGTTTTTATTCAGTAATTGTTTAGGTATTTTCATATTATTTAATACATCTGTGAGGGCCGAAACGGTGTATGGTATCGATAAATTTCCTTTGCAATTAAAAAAAAAATAGGACTTATGGACAACCTATATTTCTGTAACGTTTCGTCTGACCCTAATCAGACTGATCTAGCGAATTACATAAATAAATTTGTGTTAGGGAGCAGGAACACTCTTGAATCACTTAGGATAGTTATCTTCAATCTTCCTATAGCATTCTTTCATTTTACACATACGATTCCAATGTAACCGAAGCTTTGGAGATAAGTAGTTAGTAACGAAGAAACTAGAAAATTAGCAAATTAGCCGAGTATAGAATTGATAAAAATATTAGGAAGAGAGAGAGAGAGAGAGAGAGGGGGGAGGGAGAGAGGGAGCGAGAGTAAGAGAAAGAGAGAGAGAGAAAAAGAGAGAGAGAGAGAGAGAGAGCACAAAGACATATAAGACCAAATATTTGGTTTCTGCGAAACTAAATACTCATCCTTCTTCTGCTTGCACACTTACACAAATATATTTTTGTAACCTTCCGTCTGACAACGGTCAGACTTCCTCAGACATAACTCCTGACCTTGGCCAGACCAAACGTTAGAGAAATATAATTGTGTTGCAGTGTGAATATAAAAAGTGTGCAGCAGGACTCTCAAATCACTTATGGAAGAGAAAAATTTTATAAAGGCAGCAATATCAAAGTAGAATATCAATACATAATGATAAAAAACTCACTTGTTTCAATTTCTGGACATTCCACATATTCGTATCCCATTTTAAATCTTTTGTCTTTCAGGTATTTATTGAAGCCGTTTGCTACGAAATTCATCGTTAAATTTTCCTTCAAATTTGCATACCTATTCAAGTTGCCTAAAACAATGCAGTTTTCGTAGATTTGTGACGTTTGAATTCGGCAGTGTTCCTTCTCAAGTATCACGCAGCTCCCACTTTCCATAAGTGCTAAATTTTGCCCTAATAATAGATTCAAGTCCTAAATAATCTCAGGAGATTACTCATATATTTCATTGCACAAATCATCTAATTCAGTGGTTCTCAAACTTTTTAAGCCGCGCCCCCTTTAGAATTTGTCAGGTCTCGCGCCCAACCTCAAAAATAACTAACTAACAATAAACTGCAAATAACATAAACTAAGGCAAAAGAATGTTCATTTCAAAAAGCACGTGGAAAAATACGTGGGTGGAACGTAAAAATCCAAAATAAATGGGGGTGGGACGTGCTCCAGTGTTTGAGAACCACTGGAATAAATTTAAAAGCCTATGTTTATTTTACCAATGCCGTGGCTATGGACATTGGTTGTTTGTTGAACAATATAGATGGAACTTGCGTTGGGATGTAATTTGATTTTTTTAATGATTCTTGGGTGAACATGGGTTAGCATGATGAAAATAGTTTGTGACTATTGTGTAAATGAATAACATGGAGGAATTCAATTAACTGATGTAAAATTCAAGGATGGTCAAATACTATAAATTTTCTTAAGACAACATCAATTTGCTCCTTCAACAAAAACTTAATAAACGATAACTATTAACAAAATTATACGTGGGCCAACTAATTCTGTGTGCTGGGAGAAACTCTATAAAAATGAGCCAAACTGAATCAGTGATATTGGTAGCGTTTATGTTTCAATTTTTATTTTAAAAAGAGTAATCTGTTTGGAGTCATTTGAATACAAACTCGAACGCTTAAATTTGGCTAAATTAAAACAATAGAATATTAGAAATTTAAGTTTAGTTTCAAACCTTGAATTGTCAAGTCTCCCAGGACAAACTTTCTTCTGAAAAAAATAAAAATCATATCCATCTCCAAAAAGCGAAGCACCAATGAAGAATTATGGGAATAAATTGGGTGTGGTAGAATCCATGTTTTGGAATTGTTACTCGTGAAGTTACCGGGATATCCCGGAGAAGTTATGTTTCCAAGTCGTGAAGTTAAAATATCAACGTTGGCTTGCTCTAATATGACTTCATAAACAACCAGTGCTGAAATGAAAGTTAGTTCAATATAATGAAATGGGTAATTAACTCTTTGAACCCTGAAAGCCGCTATAGCGGCTTTCCCGAGAAAGTCTTCTGACGCTGAAAGCCGCTTTAGCGGCTTTCGCATCCCGTAAGAGGTATGCAACTTTGAAACCTCATATCTCGCGAACCATTTATTATATTTAGACAAGTTTTACATCGTGTGAAAGATAATCTACAGGACTAAATATAATTTTAAAATTGAGATAAAATATTGTGATCATCTTATGAAAATTGGCAAAATTGAAAAGCATAAAAAACTTCTGAAAATTGCTCAACTCTAATTGACAAAACTTCAATTTGGTTTCGATTAATCCTAGTACATTTTCAACAAAATTTGTAGAATTTGAAGATAGCTTTCCAGTGATACCATTAGATTGAACTTATGTTACACCATTCAAATTTTAGAAGCATTTTTATTCGTGATTTTGTTTGTCGCAAGATCGAGGCGACGTCAAGGTGACGTAAATAACGACCTAACACACTTACGCTGTTACGCAGCGACGTTAAGCAATTACGTTGGCACGTAGCACGTTTATGTTTCATACGAGAAACACTTTTCCTCGCATGCTCGTAACGTCATTTACTTTAGTTCGTACTCGTGAAGCGACTAACGACTTGTAAACGATACACGGGAAAATTTACGCATTACATCCAGCCTCAAAATTGGTTCGACTAAAACACACAATACGCAGTGTTATTGCCGTTTTAATTGCTTAAATATATGAAAAATACGAATAGCAAAAATAAGGATTTCTAAAAACGGAATGATGGAACATATCGATGGATGCATTGTTTAGCGCCATTGCTGAGTTTTATTGTGCCATATTTTCTTCTTCCGATAGATGAATACTATCCAATATTTCATCTGGACAAAGCTTTCGTTTAAAATCCATTGTAAATATAGCGGTATCAGGAATGTAGCGTATATGCAGTAATTTCGAAAATCTAATGAGGCCGCAAAATGTAAAACACTGACCAGGTGAGCTACTGGTGCCACCATGTCTTCCGTGTACCCGTTATCAGTTTTTTTCGGAACCTCATAAATGCATGAGGATCAAACATTTTGTTTTGGCCATTCATATTGTCCCATATCCAAATAGTAAACGTATATGAAATGGCCTTTATATTCTAGCAATTTTACTATGTTCGATCAAAATTCGTCTGAAAGGGTTTTATCTGCGGCCGAGGATATGATAATGATGCAATGATGACACAATCTGCACTCAAGCTGTGAACGACCAGATGTGCAATTGCGCAATATACCTCACGCAAAGAGTTACGCACGATACGTCGCATGAACGTTATCACGACAATGTCGTCGTCACCCTTTGCGTCCTTACGCAAACTTGGCGTCAAAATAGTTGATCAATATCGTTCGCAAACCATTTAAATCGATAGTACAAATTCTGCAATAAAATGAGTTATGCGTATGTTAAGAAAGTCATCCGTATATCCTCCGAAAGGTAATTTTGTATACTTTTCAAAATTTTACTTATATTGATGATACATTTCTAAAAAATGTATTAAATATTACCAAAATAAAAAAAAATAGTAGATGGGGCTAAAAATAGGCTCACACATCTCATCAAAACATCTCGTGAAAAATAATGCCAGTTAAAAATAAAGGACTAGATAAGCTTTTATATGACATATTACAGACCATCTGATATCTAATGGTTTGGAAGTTATTTTGATTTGAAAATTAGGGATATTACAATTTTTTAACGCGTCAAATCGATGCGACGCCGTGGGAGGTCAGGGTGAGAGAGTAGCATCGTTCTGGGGATTCAGAGTTCAAAGAGTTAATAAGAATGTGTCTACTTCATTCGAGGTTGGGCTGTTGACCATCTTATTGCCACGCCAACTATCTCATAATAGTATTATTTGGAATACAATATAAACTAGAGCTGCGTGCAGCATTAACAGGCTTCCCGCGTAAAAAAAAATTTGCATTTTATTGCTAGCTGAGAACTTCTGCACATTTGAGGTGAATTTCAAGTTTGTAGGACCAATTTGAAAAAATAATATTAATAAATAAATAATAATAATAATAAAACACAGGAATACAATAGGTTCCCTGCTGACAAGCAGCGGGAAGCCTAATAAAACACAGGAATACAATAGGTTCCCTGCTGACAAGCAGCGGGAATAGAACTTCTGCACATTTGAGGTGAATTTCAAGTTTGTAGGACCAATTTGAAAAAATAATAATAATAAATAAATAATAATAATAATAAAACACAGGAATACAATAGGTTCCCTGCTGACAAGCAGCGGGAAGCCTAATTATAAAAAGTCGGAGATATCCAGAAATACGTATAAAGTCTAGAGAACACGATGAGAATAATCTAAAAACTTACCGATGGTAAAGGATAAGTAGACAAACTTTTGAAAGGTATTCATCATCAAAGCTTGGTCACATCAAGCATATATTGTCAAAGATTGACAGTTAAGTAATGAAGCAACCCATCCTAAGAGTAAACTAAATTTTACTGTGAAATATAAAATTAGGTTAGAAATACTTTAGACAAATATTGCAAACCTTCAAGTTTAAATAAATTCAAAATGTCAGATCTGGTCAAAGCTACAAATTCCGATCACCGTTTTGTCACAATTAAGTGCAAATGCGTGAAAATTTTTTTATGGCTGCTCCCCAAGCTTTTCAGATATAACAACAATGAAATTCGTTGGATATAAGAAATAGGTAACAAATATTTATAAGAAATAGAATAGTACTGATACAACTTTTGGTAAAATGCACAGCATGCTATATTCGGTTTGCTTTAAATTAAGACGACTATTTTGCTCATCTGCTCTACGATTGCGACATTTCCTGCGGCGAATTTTCAAGACACGTTGCGACATATCGAAATGGCAGATGCATGTATTCATTATATGGCATTGCTTACTGCAAATTGAACACGATAACTTACTCTGAGCCTATATACCCACGAATTCTTTTGTTAAATTAATATTCGATGTCTCTAGTGTTTACCTAACTTAATATACCCCGGATTACGTCAGCGGAAACATTGATGGAGGCGATCTAATATACTGTAGCCTATTGCTTACTGCAAAGAGCACACGCTAAATTACCGCGAGCATGTATGCCTATGACTTCCTTGTTTAACTATTATAAGACGTCTCTAGTGTTTTCCTAACATTATTATACCCCGCATTACGTCAACGAAAACTCTGGCAGCGGTGGTTATGTACTAAGGCTTGTAATAAAAACATTGCTTTGCATAGCTTGCTTTATTATTTTGAGATTGAACATTCAAATGAGAGGGAGAACAAAGCTGAAAAAAGCGCGAAGAATTCTACAATTTCGGTTATATACCTATGTATTTCAATACAATTCGTGTATAATGGAGTAAAGTAAAGCGTTTGGTGCGAACTATGATATTGTCAAAAATAATATTTGCCTTAGTGTCGGTATAAATAGTGTGTGGTGTATGACAACTATGATATTTGTAGTTTGTAATATGTCTGCCCAGTAAACTCATATGATACGACTAAGCTGAACAATGGTTAAACAGTAGCATTGCCTACAAACAGTGTGTCATGAATGTATTATCAAAAATAAGGTTGCCCACTCCAAACACGCTGGTGCTGATAACGACTGAAGTCATACCAAGCGAAATAGTAAATAAAATATGTGATGTGAAGGCCATATATTGATTGGATTTAAGGAGTATTAGTGGGGACAATTAGTAATGAGTTTTGCAACCATCAGAAAATATGATATAGTAATCATATATTATCCTTCTTTTTTATGCACTACACATACATAAGTGCACATACGGTTTTAGTGTGCCAATTTCAACACCTCATTAACGCTTAAACAAACAAAGTTTAATCTTCAAATATTCTCCTATTGTCCATTATGTGACCATTCCCGAACACAAACATTTAGTAAAAGCACTAATACATTTGTTTGAAATTCACGAATGATATTGAAATATTAGTAACTTTATTGTTTGTGAGTCCATATGGGTTCATTTTTTCTCGTACAGTTACAGATTTGAATGAATAATTATGAAACTATGAGATTAATAAGCTGAGTCAGTGTTTAATTTTGTTATATTTTTATTTTTTTCTCATCGACATAAATTTGTAGATAAACTGTATAGTAATTTTAAGTTTCACCCAGCGCTAATTTAGGAAATAATATATAAATAAAGTATAATGAACATAAGAATATATAGAATCTCCTTTGTGCTTGACATGTCGTAAGGTACTTGTATCAGATGACTATGTCTTGAGCATTTCTTTTTATGTCCACATCCCCTTGAACATATGTTTTGAGATTAAGAGCGAACTCTTCTCATTAACTATATTGCGGGATAAAAATAGACGAACGACTGGGCCGAAGGCGACATCAAACTAAGATTATAATTCTGTTATTAGGCGAAATAATGACGCACGCATTACGCAAGGTATGAAAATCACTTCTTGATTTGATTTGTCACCTAATGATTAATAATATGACGTTGTAAATTTTATGCGGTTTCGAAAATATGTTTTTATTATTCTCGTTCACCGGTTTCGATGTTATCAATGTTGATATCTGCAAACCTATTGAATTGTGTGAAGATTCGTGATTTACTTTTATAAACACCACATCATGTGTCCGCATAAATATTGAAATTGCTGTTTCATACTTTCGATCCCAATATGGTATTACGTAACCATAAACGTATATGATTCGTATAGAAATCTGGAAAGCACTGTTCTATATCCTACTCCCTGCACATTCTACTCAATTTATTACTCTCTGGTCAAGACTGTGGGTATGAAATAGATTTTAAACCAGGGGTGTTCATTCTTCAATACAGGATGGCCAGACACAAAGAACTGAGTTAAACCGCGGGCCTTTGTGAGCTGCATTTGGGACGGTTGCACACCCCTATTCTAAACCATGTCAATTCAGTGATCACTGATCATATTAACTTAAAGGAAAAAGATATTATTTGTGTTTTCGTTGGTAAGAATAAGTAGTTAGGTCACTGACTTAAGAACTTAGGTATCATAGCATTTCTACCACGCCACCGTGAGATATTACTGGGCACAGATTGATACAATATAATACAGAGAAATAAATATAAACTTGGTTTACGTTAAAACCGACTAAAAAGTAGGGCGGCCATAATTCAATTTTTAGTGAATATTGGTTTCGAAAACAACTAGGTCTGATAGATAAACTACACTAAATTTAGCAGTAGTTGCAAAATAGTAAAAGATTCGGTGTTATCCGGTTTTGACTAAGCACTATTACGTCACGTAAATTCCCCGCCTCATTTTTGATTGATCGATTGACCTTGAAACGACTGATCACTTCTCAACAGACTATGACGTCATTTACCTTGCGGTAATATCGGACGGCACCTACAATAAAATTTTAATCGCTCGAAATGTATATATAATGACAACCAGAATGAGAGTTATTAAACAGATTTCAGATAGGCAAACAATATTTACTATTGTCAGAAACGTATAAAATGACAAAAGGGAATTGAATGAATGTAAAGATTATACTAAGATCTATGAATGAATTTAATTTCTGCATCTTATATTTTTTTAGGTAAATAGCAGAGACCTATCTTAAAACAGAACTGCGGACTATCAGCGCGTAAAGAGTGTAAAATAAAATATTCAATACTGTGCGCATAGCGTTACATCAATATCAATTTTCCAATTCAAGCTGTTTGTTTTTTTAAATATTGTGCGCTTTTTATTTTGTGTATAAATATTATTCCATACAATAAATTGTTGCTTTTTACAGGAATATGTAATATCACGGACCATTCACCATGGGTTTTAATCAAAAATATTAATATTTCAGTGTATTTTTACACATTTTTCTAATAACCTCTTCACTTTCAGAAAATATAGGCGTTTACAATTATTAAATACTTACTCGACGATGAAATCGATGACGGCATGCGTTACTCTTCTACTGTATTACTTATTCTTCATTTCACAAGTTAGCTCCTTCAAAGATTGTAAGTGAAATTTGTCTATGTTCCTCTTTTATATTTTTAAAATTGAATGAATTTAGCAACGTTACATGAATATCAGTATGGAATAATAATACTAGTAGTAGAAATTACACACGAAACACATGAAAATGAATAAAAAATTTGTTTCCAGTGTATTTAAAATTTATCAAAATTTATATTAATAAATATATTGCGCGATAGAAATTTAATTTTTAAATTTAAATTGTACGTAAGCTTAATTTGTGCGACCGGTTCCTATGTTTCGTAACGTAACGATTTTCGCAAAATTTGTCGAAATCATTAGTTGATTGATAATTGCAAAATGAAAATTTTCTGATAGAAATGCACTGTACTGTAAAAATCCATTAAAGCTATTTATTTTCAGTGCTTTTGAATTTATTAAAAGTGGTATCAATACAATTTTGAAGATATATTCTTTGTTAATTAAACAGAAATTCAATTTTCCCTTATTTTATATTTTAGATGTACTTCGAGATCTTGGCTGTTGGCAAGACAAAGGTGCCAGAGCGATTCCCAGCATTGAAACAAAACTACACGGTTCTTATAAATCACGTGTGAATGCTATTCAGCAATGCGCGCACGCAGCTAAAATTTTAGGATATTCTGTATTTGCTATCCAAGATGGAGGATGGTGTGCTTCAGGATCAGCTGCTTTCAAAACTTACACAAAGTATGGACCTTCAGATAAATGTAAAAGCGACGGAAAAGGAGGACCATGGGCCAATCAAGTTTACGAAATTGATACTGTTTTGAAAGGTTAGTTGAACGCATTTTTGTTAAAAATCCCCTTTTTTGTTTAAACCAGGGTTCCCCAATCGAGGAGGTTTTGCTTGTAATTTGATATCTGTATTCATTTACCACGTATGCTCACACACATTATAAAATATTCAATCTGTACAAACGCTAGATTATTAGTTGTGTACATCACTATCTAATGATCCATTAGATATTGGGAAGAAAAACGAAATCGGAGATTTATACATATTGATGAGGGACTGTAGAGTTCCTATCTATGTAATGAGAGATATATGTGATAAACGTAGTTTGTAATCACTGACTTAAACAATTTGTTTTTGCAGTGCAATATAGGCCGGTTGGCTGCTTCAAAGACACTGGGAAAAGAGCGATTGATACTGTTGAGAAACGTTATGTTGATCTTCATGATAATTATCAACATCGACAGGATGCAATAGGAAAATGTGCGAGAATCGCGGCTTCTCTTGGAAACAGTGTTTTCGCGCTGCAAAACGGGGGATGGTGTGCTACCTCGTCTTCTGCGTCTTCCACTCACAATAAATACGGTTACTCGCAAGACTGTCAGGATCACGGAAAGGGAGGTCCTTGGGCAAATGCCGTTTACGAGATTACTTCTGTTGCAAAAAGTAAGATACTTAATTGATGGATTTATTTAAGCAAATACTCCTTAATTTCATTGCCAAAGTAAAATAATTGTGGCAACTCGTTGTTGTTGTTGTTGTTTTATGGCGCTTATAACTTCAGTGGTCTTTTGATCAATTCGAATTAAAAATCCTATTCTAACACAGTATACAATATTCACAAATAACTTGTTCATAATTTAATTGGCGCTTTCAAAACTCAATCCACATCCAAAATATAATAACCAAATGGCAAGCATCGAAGTTTCATGCGGCAAATTTCTTATAAGTTACTGAATGCATCTCCTGCCTTATTCCGTACTGTACTGGATGTGTCTGCTACTGCTAAATATAATTTATCTAGCGGTATGCACAGTACTAACGCTGATATTACATAGTAGCCTAATATAAAATTATATATTAATTACATATTATTGTGTAAAAATCCTAATTATTTTCTTTTAATTTTTCAGTCACACTTGAACGTCTCGGCTGTTTCGCCGACAAAGAAAGTCGATCGCTACCTTTCTTGGAAAGGCCTGAAATATTGGGCGGTGAATACCAGAAAAGACCTCAAGCCATTGAACAATGCGTAAGATATGCTTCGGGATTGGGACATCTCATCGTTGGAATTCAAAATGGCGGTTCTTGCATGGCAGGAATTCATTATGCAAAGTATGGAGCATCAACAAATTGTAAATCGAATTCGAAAGGTGGATCATGGGCAAATGAAGTTTTCAAAATAGATATTAAAAAGCTCGGTAAGATATACTATTTAATTCAACCCTAAATAACCGTTTTTTTAGGTTTAGGCTGTTGATGGGCGCTAGATGCTTCGCGGCACTTCTTTGCACCGTTTTTTTTATTGGCCTTTTCATTGTATGATTAACACGAAGTGAGTATAAGTATAGTTTCGATAACAATAAAAATAGTTCTTGTAGTTGTTATGCCCAATGTTTCTCAGCTTTACATTACATAAATTTGAAAGAATTCGCTAAAGCATCACTATTATTTTGAAATTTCAATGGTTCTTTGAGAACCAATATTTCTGTCAGAAATTTGCTGTTTTATTTTGTATGAAGAGCAACATCATATTTCTAGACCAACTCCGTATTTCTTATCCAACTATCTCTTCGTCAAATTCGGTGCTCTCTGGCATGACCGAACCAGCACCGATGCATGACAACTTTAGCATTGTTTTTTATAAATGTAGATTTGCTTAATTTGCTTTGCCTAGTGGCATGACCTACATCATTTCTTATGACAGAAAAATAATTTTCAAAATGATTTCTTTTTCCAGAAACCGGATTTCCAAGACTTCCTAGACATGAAGGTATGTATGTACTTTACCAATATAATAATATTACGAATTCGATTAAAAAGAGTGAATGCTAAACCTTTCAGCCAAAACACAACGTGCGAATATAGCCAAATCAGCGTCTCATAGCTGGATATCATACTCAGATGTTAACAAGACTCATTTAGTGGTCTAAAGTTTTTGTTATTAAAATTTAAAAAGTTGCATCAAAAATACAAAAACTATTTCTTTGGACAGAATATTACTTGAACAATCTGGGTTGCTGGACTGACAAAGAAAATCGTGCTATTCCCGTTGGTTTAGAAGGAACCAATTCTATTTTGATCGGTGAATACCAGAAAAGAAAGGATGCTATTCGAAGGTAAATTGATACTGAAAGTTTATAATAACATCATGGACAATGTAGATGTAACTTAGTGTCTCATGTGCAATAATTTGTTTCAGATGTGCTCAAGCAGCTATGGCTCGCGGATATAACATTATCGGAGTACAGAATGGGGGCCAATGTTGGACTGGAGTAAACGCTCGAAACACTTATAGAAAATATGGACTTTCTAATAAATGCTCAAATGGCAAAGGTGGGAACTGGGCAAATGAAGTTTATGAAATCAACACAATATGGGATCGTAAGTATTGTGATGTTAAAAAACATTGATTCCGTGGAGTTGACACAAAAAAAATCATTTGTTGAATTTTACAGCAAATTTCAGCGGGCTCGGTTGTTTTAGAGATACATCAGCGAGAGCTATTTCCACCATTGAAACTATGAACCCATTACTGAATGGAGAGTATCAAAAAAGATCCGATCCTGTACGAAAATGCGCCAGAGTTTCTGCTAGTTTTGGTCACACTGTATTTGCCATCCAAAATGGAGGATATTGTCAGAGTTCAGCAAACGCTGGTTCGGCGTACGCGAGGTTCGGCCGAGCGGATAACTGTGGAAGAGGAAAGGGCGGTTCATGGGCGATGTCAGTCTACAAGATTTCAGATGCAATGGACTGTAAGTTTGGTTTCATAAAATCTAGCACTGCACTGCAAACTTAATTGTAAGTGTAATGTTAAATACAAATTTGCAATTGTAAGCAAGATATGTACTCCCATCAGACAAGTATATTCAGTAATAACTTAAGATTTAAAAGTTAAGAAGGTAAAAGCCGTAATAACCGTCATGATAACAAAATTTGACTTCATATTACCTAGTTTCTATAACTAGAGCCTTCTTCCTCAGTGTGCTAGTTGTTTTATCAATGCTGTAACTATTCTTTTGTCTAACTTTACAGTTTACATCGAAAGTCGAGGATGTTGGGCAGATGATGCTTTCCGTACTATTCCAACAGTCGAGAGCGATGGACCAGAATTCATGAGTCAACCTGATTATAAGAAAAGAGAAGATGCTTTAGGGAAATGCGCTCGTTATGCTCGTTCCAGGGGATTTAGATTTTTTGCTCTTCAAGATGGCGGATATTGTTCAGCCTCAATTGACGCTGAAAATACATACAGGCGAATTGGACCTTCTCAAAAATGCAGAAATGATGGTAAAGGAGGACCTTGGGCTAATCAAGTGTACGAAATTGTGTAAGTTGGCTCAAGCATTAAGTTTTTTTTTTTTTTTTAAACATATCAATTAAAAGTTATTCCTTTTTTTTCCACAGGCCGCAGAAGTTAGCTTGAATTGATCAATATAATATTGACAAAGAAAGCAAGAAAATTTCATCACCGACAACTGTTCAATCTTATTATGGCAGTTTAGAGCATAATTGTTGATGTATTATCTCGAAATTACGTCTAAAATTTTAAATTATTGTATACGTTTTATTTGTGAATAACACATTACGAAGTATGCGAATTAACAAAAATAAAACATGTACCACTTAAAATGTTTCAATGTTATTTGACTTTATTTTTTCTGGTCAATTCGTTGATGCCATGACTAATCGATGATTCTAAGTTGATCAAAACACACTCGTCATTGTGGTGGGCACTCGGGGTTTCAGTCTAGTCGATCGATGCGCTCAGAGGTTCCAACCTGTCTACATAACACTTTCGATGCCAAGGACGTATCTATACGTCATACAAAAAAGAAATAGTTTAATAGATAGAAGAAGGTCGAGTTCAGGTATTTGCCATCTTTTTCTCTTCTCTCTCTCTCTCTTGTTGCCAAGTTGGGGGGAAAAAATGACGTCGTCAGGTAATCGCGTCATTCAAAAAATACCACGAAGGAAGGAGCGTCTGCCATTAAGTAAATTATCAACTTGCTTAGCATGGCCGATGTACCTATTAACTGCAAATAATGATCGAAAATTTGTATGAGACCGATTGACGCCAACACACCTGGTTTCAACTTTTTCCGATGAAATGATTGAAAGGTGTAAGAGATCATATTATCAAGCATGTTACGAAGATGTAGAAAAACATGACGCAGTCCAACGTTACTAAACCGGGAAAGAATTTGAATATTTGTATATGCATGTTTAGCATTATTGTAATTCATGCATGATAATCTATTCAAATTGTTTAAAAAACGGAGTACAAGTTGCGCATATCATAAGTAAATGATTTATAAAATGTTCAACTTTTTGATCCCTGACGTCTTTGAGCGAAGTTGCTCTCTCTATCGGCAGGACGATAGAATAATTTGAAATTTTGGTATTTTTGAACGTTTATAACTTTTTAACAATTTTGGGAAACGAATTGACGGACATCTATAACGGAAGCAAATTTTGTCGTCCTGCGAGGTAAATAAAATGTTACAGTTTGGATAAAAGGTTTGCCAAAAAGTGAGAAATTGATTTCAGTCGGAACATATTTTTTTCTACTTGTCAGTGAGATATGTTCCGACATATATTTTTTTTGTGGGAAATATATTACCAATAACACAGAGCTTCTCGTATGCTGTCAGCTGATACTTGAATTACATCCGTAGCTATTGTATAACCATAATTATAGCAAAATATGCAATCCTGCATTTTTGTGTCGGATGCACAAGTTCAATAAGCGGCCATGACGTACCGATTACGTAGCTACGCAATAGCGATTACGTGACTGGCGTCACGAAGACGGGATTACGTGCAGCCGAGACGAGTTGCGTCGCAAATTGCGTAAAATAACAATCACGGAAAATTGTGTGTTCACGTTCTCGACAGGAAATCAACTGACGAGATTCGATAAAACTTTAACCATTTTTACCATGTCATCTTTGAAACACCGGATGCGTAAAATGAATGTAGAAATTACACTTGGAAATGGTTCGTTTGCACGCCAATATGCGTTTAAATATCAACTTGCAAAAAATATCAGATTGTATGAAATGTTAGCCTAGGCAAGTAAAGACTTCGAATTTCATCGTTTACTGACTGAAAATCAAATCTGAAATCTCGCCTGAGGAAAACTCAAGAGTAATACTGTGATACAAACGCAAGGAAATGTATTACACATGTTTCGGTGTTTTTCGATTCCCGTTGTATCTGTACGTAGCAATCTCGTTATCGCTTACTGTTCAATTTCTGTATATAAAAATTATGGAGTTTGTCTTGTAAGATTCACTAGGACTTGACAATCTTTATTTTTTGGATTAAAGAATGTGAAAGACTTCAGCTATCCCTAATCTAGAAGGCAGATTTTCATGCAAGCAGCCTGCAACTCCTACCGCGTTGTGAATAGATAGAACTATATAACATGCACAACATGATAGGACGTCCATTATGGTCCCATATTCTTTATTGTTTTGTTATGTACTGATAAACCAGTATTTGTTTTATGTCCTTTTGGTGCTGACACAAGTTTATGGGGATTGAGTTTTTTTTTTTTTTTTTTGTCTTTTGTTTTCTATGAGGCTTGAGCTGACAGTCAAATTTAACGCTACACACATATAATACGTAACATCGGGTTAAATAATGATCTTGCACGGACAATTTGAATGACAACATCTCGGCGTTACGTGTTTGCTAATATCGATACGCTCTGTTGCGCCTAGGTGATAAACGTAATATCGTGCGTGACGTGACGAAGCATTTCGCCGACGAAAACGTCAGGTTGACGTAGCGACGCAGTCGAAGCTACAAAAAATCAAATATATTTGGCTATAAGATTTGAATGGCTTATCATACAATCGTTGCGAAAGTGTCCATGGAAAGACATTTAAATCATCCAGTTATATTATCGATTTAATATGTGGCTATGTAATGTAAACTATATCTGAATGCACGATAGCATTCTATTTTATTTTAAATGTCACGCAATGTAAATAAATATATTCGAAATATTTGTTGTATTATTGATTATTGATGGGGCTCCGAGAAAATTTAGCATGAGAGAGCAATTCCGGCAGGATACGCATGCGTAGGTGGGTCCTTTCACCTACGACTGATATGTCGGAATGAACGAAAACTCATGACACCACTAGGTTCGCCCCCTCACGATCAATTAAATTATTAAAAAATAAATGCGAGAGAGAATAAATAGGAGAGAACTCTCTCGTTTTCACCTTGGCACGGAACGATAAAATTAAAAAAACTGATCGTGGCATCGAAACTTCCATTATTACTTCCATTATCTTATAACAGACATATATTTTTTGAAACAATATTTAATTAATTTTGCAGAAACCGGACTTCCAAGACTTCCTAAACATGAAGGTGCGTGTTTTATCGATGTAATATTTATATCAGATATGATATTAGATACCAAATAAATGTTTGCAATGTTGTACTTATTCGACCCATAGGTTGGGAACCGCTGCTCTATATATATACCACATTGAGTGCGATCGGGAAATGATAGAAAATGATAGTTGCTACATAAATGCCATCAATATCGCAAAACTAGTAAATTAATTTTTTACGTGTGGTTTAGTGGTTTTATGTAAGTGAAAATTATAGCCCAATTAAGATAGTGAGACAGTTAAATCAGATCCTGCAATGCATCGACGAAGGTTGTCATGAACACATTCTAAAATTCGATAACAAAATGTAGTAAGATCTGAGCTGAATTGATATGTAAAGTCAAGTTCTGTCTCACGTTTGATGATAATTGTGAGATTTTTTTAAAATACGTTTAACAGACTTTAAAACAAAGTAATAAATATTTTGATCCAAAATTTGTTGGTGCTTCAAAACTTTTTAGTTATCAAGAATCCGATACTGCTTGTTGAACACTTAATCGTTTCCTATTTATAGACTTAATTGCTTGTATATTATAGTATTGTGTAGATATTTCCGCTACTATCTATACCAGCGTTTCCCAAACTTTTTTGGCCACTGAACACTTACGAATTTTATCTCGCTCCGCGTAACAACAAAGAATAAAGGGGTAAAATTGATAAAAAAAAATGGTGTAATACAGCGATTTTCAAAGTGGGCGCCGCGGCCTAATAGTGCGCCGTTGGGGGTTGATAAATGTGCTGCGAAAACTAACAGAATTGTGTTAAACATAACTAAAATATGATTGAATAGTGTACATATTGTATTTATTATGTTGTTTCATTGTTTCTGATTTTAAATGCTGTGTATAAGAATCAATAAATTCCATTTACCTTTCTTTGCCGACGGTTACGAAAATGCCACTACCCGCAAATCGTTAGTCCGCTTTAGGTAGATGGTGAAACAATATTGAACGGTCACCAGTTGGGCGACAACTTTACGACGTCGATTATCCCTTTCCCACGGAACACCCGGAAGACGCTCGCGACATAATAGTGTTCCGCGGAACACAGTTTGGGGAACGCTGATCTAGACGTTAGATTGGTGTGCCGAATTGAAGGATTTGATAAATGGAAATCGTTTTATGCTCAAATGCATTAAACATATATCAAACTAAACTTTTCAATAGAGTCAAAATACCCAATTTGTGTTTTTTGTCATGTAGCTAGCAATAGTGCGATTTTGCATCAATGGTTAATTAAATGGATCAAACTTAAAACTCTTTGAACTCTGAATCCCCAGAACGATGCTACTCTCTCACCCTGACCTCCCACGGCGTCGCATCGATTTGACGCGTTAAAAAATTGTAATATCCCTAATTTCAAATCAAAATAACTTCTAAACCATTAGATATCAGATGGTCTGTAATATGTCATATAAAACCTTATCTAGTCTTTTATTTTTAACTGGCATTATTTTTCACGAGATGTTTTGATGAGATGTGTAAGCCTATTTTTAGCCCCATCTACTATTTTTTTGTATTTTGGGTATATTTAATACATTTTTTAGAAATGTATCATCAATATAAGTAAAATTTTGAAAAGTAGACAAAGTTACCTTTCGAAGAATATACGGATGACTTTCTTAACATACGCATAACTCATTTTATTGCAGAATTTGTACTATCGATTCAAATGGTTTGCGAACAAAATTGATCAACTATCTTGACGCCAAGTTTGCGTAAGGACGCAAAGGGCGACGACGACATTGTCGTGATAACGTTCATATGACGTATCGTGCGTAACTCTTTGCGTGAGGTATATTGCGCAATTGCACATCTGGTTGTTCACAGCTTGAGTGCAGAATGTGTCATCATTGCATCAGTATCATATCATAGGCCGCATATGAAACCCTTTCAGACGAATTTTGATTGAACATAGTAAAATTGCTAGAATATAAAGGCCATTTTATATACGTTTACTATTTGGATATGGGACGAAAATGAATGGCCAAAACAAAATATTTGATTCTCATGCGTTTATGAGGTTCCGCCGGAAACATCAAGGCTAATTATTCACCGTTGGATATCATGAAGATTGAATAAAAAAAAAACTGATAACGGGTACACGGAAGACATGGTGGCACCAGTAGCTCACTTGGTCAGTGTTTTACAGTTTGCGGCCTCATTAGATTTTCGATATTCCTGATATCGCTATATTTACAATGTATTTTAAACGAAAGCTTTGTCCAGATGAAATATTGGATAGTATTCATCTATCGGAAGAAGAAAATATGGCACAATAAAACTAAGCAATGGCGCTAAACAATGCATCCATCGATATGTTCCATCATTTCGTTTTTAGAAATCCTTATTTTTGCTATTCGTATTTTTTATATCTTTATGCAATTAAAACGGAAATAACACTGCGTATTGTGTGTTTTAGTTGAACAGATTTTGAGGCTGGATGTAATGCGTGAATTTCCCCGTGTATCGTTTACAAGTCGTTAGTCGCTTCACGAGTACGAACTTAAGTAAATGACGTTACGAGTATGCGAGGAAAAGTGTTTCCCGTATGAAACGTAAACGTGCTACGTGCCAACGTAATTGCTTAACGTCGTTGCGTAACGGCGTAAATGTGTTAGGTCGTTATTTACGTCACCTTGACGTCGCCTCGATCTTGCGACAAACAAAATCACGAATAAAAATGCTTCTAAAATTTGAATGGTGCAAAATAAGTTCAATCTAATGGTATCACTGGAAAGCTATCTTCAAATTCTACAATTTTGGCGATAATGTACTAGGTTTAATTGAAAACAAATTGAAGTTTTGTCGATTAGATTTGAGCAATTCTCAGAAGTTTTTTATGCTTTTTAATTTTGCCAATTTTCATAAGATGATCATAATAATTTATCTCAATTTTAAAATTATACTTAGTCCTGTAGATTATCTTTCACACGATGTAAAACTTGTCTAAATATAATAAATGGTTCGCGAGATATGAGGTTTCAAAGTTGCATACCTCTTACGAGATGCGAAAGCCGCTAAAGCGGCTTTCAGCGTCAGAAGACTTTTTCGGGAAAGCCGCTATAGCGGCTTTCAGGGTTCAAAGAGTTAAATTCTCCCATCTTTTGATCACACTTACATTTATGACACTTGATTAAAAACTCACAAATGTTGTCAAAGCCAGAAAAGGAGTTATCACCATGCTCACAAAAAGGGTGTCTGAGCGGTTGCTAAACCCCAGATTGTTGTTTCAACGTCAGGTTATTTCCCAATACCCAATTTTACAAAAATAATCTAACTAGTCGATAACTGGAAAATCATCAATTATCAGCTGGCGAATAAGTTATGGAGTCATGTTAAGTTTGAAGTAATATTTAAGGTGAGATATTTAGAGAGTTTGAATTGGAGCCAGGCCTAATTCTGTATGGTTATTGATGATCAGAAAGGCAATTAAGTACATCAAAGTTTTAGATGAAAGGAGTGGTTAGAAAACTGGCGAGGTTTGGGGCTGTGGTCATAATTGGATGACAAGGAGATTGATTTGAGGGTAGTGATGGTACCAGTTAGGTATACGAGTTTCTGTGGCACGGGGTAGTAGAAATGGCTTAGGTTTTGGTGACGGAGGTAGATTGATGAAATTAGAGATTTCAGGGGGTTGGATATAGGCGAGATTTGAGAGAATAAGTGGCAAGTTAAGCAGTAGTGGAATTCAAAATGTTAATACGAGGTTTTCTTTCGAATCAAACTTACAACAAGTTCCCTCATTTCAGAAAACAATTTTGCAATGTGGAATTGTTCGCTATATATACAAAAATCGATAGAAAATAGTTCCATTCTTCAAATATAATGATTGATAATTATTTTATCGTTCTATTTCGATATTTTTGATTGACTTTGAGATCTCGAATCTCAAAACATTACGTCTATAAATGTACGTCATATTCACTATAGTCTATCTTTATGTTACTACGCAGGCTAGCTTTAAAAAGTCACGCTTTCAATAAGGCTAATCGCCGGCTCAAGAACGAGTTCGTTCATCATCACACAATTCCAAAAAAGTGTTCGCTCGATTCCTCAAAATCCAACCAATTCTCGAACCCCTCCAACGTGTGATAAGATCATATGACAATAGCGCACGACATCAAAGAACTTCCCAGAACTATGAATTCGAATAACATTGAGACATATTAAAATATACATGAATTTTTTATTTTAATGCACATACATTTTACACACTTCAACGTAAACAATAATTTAGGTTTTAAAGAGCTTAGAAAATTAGAAATCATGCTTTAAACTGACATAGCAAAAAGTGAATAGTTGCCGACAACGGAATTCTTCATATGTCTTCGTTCGGATTTCATAAATCCGTTCATGCTAACTTCTGTGGCCTGCGGAAGAAACGAAATTAGTATTTAAATGTCTAAGGTGGCAAAGAAAATTTAACCTCAATGTTCGTACAAACTTACATAATTTCGTAGACTTGATTAGACCAAGGGCCACCTTTACCGTCATTTCTGCATTTTTGAGAAGGTCCAATTCGCCTGTATGTATTTTCCGCGTCGATTGAGGCTGAACAATATCCACCATCTTGGAGGGCAAAAAATCTAAATCCCCTGGAACGAGCATAACGAGCGCATTTGCCTAAAGCATCTTCTCTTTTCTTATATGCCTTCTCATTGCCCATAATAGGTTCGCTCATAAATTCCGGTCCATCGCTTTCGACTGTTGGAATAGTACGGAAAGCATCATCTGCCCAACATCCTCGACTTTCGATATAAACTGTAAAGTTAGACAATAGATAGTTATAACATTGATACAACAACTAGCACACTGAAGAAGGGGGCACATTGATTAATGCTTACTGCTCCGCTTGTCGAAATTAGGTATTATGACGTCTGGTTTAATTACCATGACATTTTATTACGATTTTAGGCTTATTAAAATTTGAAATTTAAGTTATTACCGAATATACTTGCCTGATAGGAGTACATATCTTGCTTACAATCGCAATTTTGCATTAACAAAACATTTACAACTAGGTTTTTGGAGTCATTATAGATTTTATGAAACAAAACTTACAGTCCATCGCATCAGATATCTTGTAGACTGACATTGCCCATAAACCGCCCTTTCCTCTCGCGCAGTTATCCGCTCGGCCAAACTTCATGTACGTGGAACCAGCGTTTGCTGAACTCTGACAATATCCTCCAAGTTGGACGGCAAATACAGTGTGACCAAAACTAGCCGAAACTCTGGCGCATTTTCGTACAGGATCGGATCTTTTTTTGAATACTCCATTCAGTAATGGGTTCAGCTTTTCAATGGCGGGAATAGCTTTCGATAACATACTTTTGAAACATCCGAGTCCGGTGATGTTTGCTGAAAAATTCGACAAATGATTATTTTTATATTGTGTCAACTCCTTGTGGAAACAACGTTTCATAACATTACAAGACTTACGATCCCATATTGTGTTAATTTCATAGACTTCATTTGCCCAGTTCCCACCTTTGCCATTTGAGCATTTATTCGAAAGCCCGTATTTTCTATAAGTGTTTCGAGCGTTTACTCCAGTCCAGCATTGTCCTCCATTTTGTATTCCTATAATGTTATATCCGCGAGCCATAGCTGCTTGAGCACATCTGAAACAAATTGTTGCTAATGAGACACTAAGTTACATCAACATTGTCTATGATGTAATGTTTAACTTTCAGTATCAATTTACCTTCGGATAGCATCTTTTCTTATCTGGTATTCACCAATCAAAATAGAATTGGTTTCTTCTAAACCAACGGGAATGGCGCGATCTTCTTTGTCATACCAACAACCCAGGTTGTTCAAATGATATTCTGTCAAAAAATAAAAAAAATTTTTTAGCAATTATTTTTGATTCAACTTTTCAAACTCAATAACAAAAACTTTTGGACCATTAAATCAGTATTGTTGACATCTGAATATTATATTAAATTAAGATTTGGCCAAACTCGCATGTTGTGTTTTGGGTGAGAGCTCTAACATTCACTCTTTTTTTGTTATCTAATATTATATCTGATATAATTATTACATCGATAAAAAACGCACCTTCATGTTTAGGAAGTCTTGGAAGTCCGGTTTCTGCAAAATTAAATAAATATTGTTTTAAAAAATATTTGTCTGTCATAAGATAATGGAAGTAAGCCAATGCACATCTTCCACACAAGAAACTTTGCTATAATATTGCACGAGTCGTGGATTGGTACTGGATTATTGAGTCGGGTACGCGTAAATGATGGTCATAAAAAAGCAATACATAGACGGTCGAGCAATACGAAATATGAAGTGTGCCGTTTCTACTCAAGTATTCGTGGTAACTTGAATGCATTGGGAAAAACGATCCGATAAATAAAAAAAGCACATTTCTGAATGAAGCCTTATAGGAACATAAGAGAGTTTATTTTGCTTTGTCCACCAGAAAACATATACACAAAGGGACATAATTATTTGAAAGCAATAAAATCTCGGCACAGACTGGGGGTACAACGAAACGACAATGCGGTCATTTGAGTCAGTCACCATCTAACTAGGACTAGAAAAATTAGAAATAAAATAGTTATAGTGTGACCCCCTTCCATCTTAAGATTTAAAATTGGTTAATCAATTAGTGAAGAAATGAAATATTTTTTAATATCAGTAAGATATAACCATAACTAACAAGCGTAATAACAACAGCAAATATATAGCAAAACAATCCATATCAAATAAATAAAAAAATGAACTTATTCATTGGGTCAAGTAGTGAAATCTTACCAAGCTTTTTAACATCTATTCTGAAAACTTCATTTGCCAATGTTCCGCCTTTCGAGTTTGATTTGCAATTCGTGGATGTTCCATATTTTGCATAATCAATTCCTGCCATGCATGAACCGCCATTTTGTATTCCAACGATGAGATGTCCCAAACCCGAAGCGTATCTAACGCATTGTTCAATGGCTTGAGGTCTCTTCTGGTATTCACCGCCCAATACTTCTGGCCTTTCCAAGGAAGATAGCGCTTGACTTGCTTTGTCGGCGAAACAGCCAAGGCGTTGAAGTGCGACTGTGAAAATAAAATAACTATATTCCACAAAACTATATAATATATTAATTATAATACTGTTTAATGGTTTAAAAGCAGCGTTACTACTGAGCACACCGATAGATAAATTATATTCAGCAATGAGAAACTAAGGCACTTACAGTAGTACGAATTATTAAGTCACGAAATGTATTTAGTAATTTATAACAAATTTCCCCATTAAAATTAAATTTGATGCTTACCTTTAGTTTTTTAGTATTTGAGATGTGCAATTTGGTAGTGTCAATTAAATTATGAACAAGTTGCCACAATTATGTTAGTTTGGCAATAAAATTGAAGGATATTTAATTAAATAAATTCATCAATAAAGTATCTTACTTTTTTCAACAGAAGTAATCTCAAACGGCATTTGCCCAAGGACCTCCTTTGCCGTGATCCTGGCAATCTTGCGAGTAACCGTATTTATTGTATGTTGAAGACGCAGAAGACGAGGTAGCACACCATCCCCCGATTTGAAGCGCAAAAACATTGTTTCCAAGAGAAGCTGCGATTCTCGCACACTTTCCTATTGCGTCTAATCGAAGTAGATAAATATCATGAAGATCAACATAACGTTTCTCAACGGAATCAATCGCTCTTTTTGAAGTGTCTTTGAAGCAGCCCACAGACCTGTATTGAACTGTGAAAACAAATAGTTTAAGTCTGGGGTTTCTAGCATTTTTTACGCGTTATTCAATATTGTGTCATCAGCTAGTAACAGGCACAACTTGCAATCTCGCTGTTGTAGAGTTTGAATAGTTAATAATGTGTATACATAAGCGTTTAATAAATAGCAGTTTGAATTTCCACTCGTAATCCAATTACATTCATCCCCGATTGGAAAACCCTGGTTTAATGTAACAATTTTTTTTTTTAACATAACTAACCTTTTAAAACAGTATCAATTTCGTAAACTTGATTGGCCCATGGTCCTCCTTTTCCGTCGCTTTTACATTTATCCGAAGGTTCATACTTTGTGTAATTTTCAAAGGCAGCTGGTCCTGAAGCACACCATCCTCCGTCTTGGATAGCAAATACAGAATATCCTAAAATTTTAGCTGCGTACGCGCATTGCTGAATGGCATTCAAACGTGATTTATAAGAACCGTGTAATTTTGTTTCAATGCTGGGAATCGCTCTGGCACCTTTGTCTTGCCAACAGCCAAGATCTCGAAGTACATCTGAAATACAGAATGAGTAAAAATTTATTTTCTCATACACAAATAATATAAGTAAGTATAAGTAAAAAAGATTTCTTATTAATTTTTTCATATATATTTGTATAATTTTTATTAACATTTCCGCGTTTTTTTCCCTCTTCACATTTCAAACACAGTCTAATACGATGAAATCAGTAAATCTCAAGGCACGATCGCAACTACATTATAAAAACAGCAAAAATCGACCAAACATATAAACCCCAACGTAAGCAAACGTGCTTAGCACAAAAACGCAACCCGACAAACTGCAAACGTGCCACAAGACAACTACGTACCGCATTCAATTGAAGAAATTATTACGCTTAATCACAACAAGTTATAGAAAGGTATGTAGGGGCAAAATCACACAAAAAAATCCTATTACAATATTAGTTTTGAAGATGTTTAAAAACTCCAAGGATCTATATTATTCGGTGATGATCAATGTACAATGTTCTCCCCATTTGCCAATTTTTCATTTTACTTTTATTATTCTACCAGTGTAATTCGGAAAACGTTGATGACATCCTTAAGCTTCGATATATATAAAAGAATAACATGAATTAAATATACTTACAATCTTTGAAGGAACTAACTTGTGAAATAAAGAATATGATGTATAAAAGTAGAGTAACGCATGCAGTTATCGATTTCATCTTGGCGTAAGTATTTATTAAATGAAAACGGTTATATTTTCTGAAAACAAAAAAGGAGTAAAATGTAATTTTACAAAAAAAAACGACGATTTGTTGCATAAAATATTATTTATAATCATTGACCTAGAAAATAAATAGCGCAAGATCTTTTTAAAAATTGCTCGAATAGGGACATTGACCGATATTTTTACACTCTTGAAGCGCTGATAGTTTGCAGTTCCATTAAGGTAAATTTCTGCTATTCATTTATAAAAATATAGTATACTGTTGCAAACATAAAAGTGATACCATCTATAGATCTTAGTCTTATATTCGCTTTCATCCAATTTTCAGTAAATATTGTTCTAAATCTACCTGATAACTCTATAACTTTTGGTCATTATATATACATTTCTAGCGATTAAAATTTCATTGTGGATATGACCGCAGGGGTAAATGGCGTCACAGTCTGTTGAGAAATGATCACATGTTTCAAGGTCATTTTTACTATTAAAAATCACGAGGGGAATTTTCTTGACATAATCGTGATTAGAAATAATCGTATAACACATAATCCTTTTTTAAATTGATTTCAGTTACAATCAACCGCAGTGTAGTTTATCCAGCATACCTTATTGTTTTCGAAACCAATATTCACCGAAATAATGATTTATGACTCCCTACTTTTTAGTTGGCATTAACGTTATTCAAGTTCATATTTACCTCTTTATATTACTTTGAAACAATATTTGCCGGCGTTGCATTTTTCAATTTTTATTTCACCCTGGTGATGGGGTAGGTATGAACCTGGACATGGTATGAAACATAAGTTCGTTAGTCAATGACCACTAAGTCGTACCACCAAAAATTCAAAGTATTTATTTGGTCAAACGTATTAGCACCACGGCCAAATTAGAATCGCTGGTTTAAAATCTATTTCATACCCACATTCTTTGCTAGTGTATAATAAATCGGGTAGAGTGTGGAAGTAGAAAGTGGAAGTATAATATATACAGGTGCTTTCCAGATTTCTATGAAAAACACGTACGTTTATGGTCATGTAGGACCATGGCCAAGTTGGCATCGCTGGTTTAAAATCTATTTCCTACCCACATTCTTGACCAGTGTGTAATAAATCGGCTAGAGTGTGGAAGCAGAAAGTGGAAGTATAATATATACAGGTGTTTCCCAGATTTCGATACAAAACACGTACGTTTATGGTCGTGTAGGACCACGGCCATTTGGTGACGTCGTGCAAATCCAGAACTGATTTCCACAGCTTACGTAATGCGTGTACAATGCGTCATTTTTTCGACTAATAACAAATTTTTAATCTAGGTTGATGTCGCCTTCGGCCCAGTCGTTCGTCTATTTTTATCCCGCAGTATAGTAAATGCGAAGAGTTCGCTCTCATTCTTAAAAAACATATGTTCAAGCGGATGTGGCCATGAAAAAAAATGCTCACAAAACGACCATCTGATACAAGTTACGACAACCTTACGACGTGCAGAGCACAAAAGAGATTTTATTTATTATTATATTCATTATATTTATATTTTATTGCCTAAATTGGCACTGAATAATATTCTTTCAATATCCTTCGTGAATTTCCAAAGAATGTTTTAGTGCTTTTACAACAATGTTCATGTCAGGGATATAAAGATGCCGGTCGAAATGACCGCAAGGTAAATGACGTCATAGCCTGTTGAGAAGCGATCATCCGTTTCAAGTTCATTCGTTCAATTAAAAATCACGCGGGGAATTTTCTTGACGGAATTGTGCTTAGTCATAAGAACCGGATAACACCGAATCTTTCTTTATTTTTCTGCAATTACTCCTGAACGCAGTGTAGTTTCTCTAGCAGATCTAGTTGTTTTCGAAACTAGTGTTCTCAGTATTATATTCGCTTTCATCTATTTTCCTTTCGTTATTTGATTCATCTCTGAGAACAGTGAATTATGTTCTAAATCTGCCTGATAACTTTATAGCTTTTTGTCATTATATATACATTTCGAGCGATTAAAATTTCATTGTAGATGCCGGTCGATATGCAGCAGGGGTAAATGGCGTCATAGTCTGGTGAGAAATGTTTCAAGGTTATTCTTTCAATTAATAATCACGCGGGGTATGTTCTTGACATAATCGTGATTATTCATAATCGTACAACACTTAATTATTTTTTAAATTCATTACAATTACATTCAACCGCAGGGTAGTTTATCCAGCATACCTTGTTCTTTTCGAAACCAATGTTTACCGAAATAATAATTCATGACTCCCTACTTTTCAGTTGGCACTGACGTAATCCAAGTTCATATTTACTTCTTTATATTACTTTAAAGCAATTTTTGCCGGCGTTGTCTTTTTCAATTTTTATTTCACTATTTCACTTTCACTAAGATCTTTTATCAGTGACCTATAACCAAAAATACAAATAAAGTCGTTGTTCGTCGAGTTATGTGTAGTTATGTGAATATGGGATTAACATGTGAATATGGGATTATATGATTACTATTGCATATTCTCAGATGGTTGCAATAATCCATAGGTTTTTTACAGATTGTCCCCACTAATACTCCTACAATCTAATCAAATTATGGCATTCACATCACATATTTTATTACTATTTCGTTTGGTATGACTACAGTCGATATTGGCGCCAGCGTGTTTTGAGTGGGCAACTTCTTTTTAGTAATGCATTCGTGAAATGCTTTCTGTAAGCAATGTTTCTGAATAATTGTTGCACATCATTGAACTGGCGTTTTGCAAATTAAAATTTTTTAAAATTATCCTTCATCACACACATTTTACACTGCACACACATACACATGCTAATAGCAACAATTTTAGTAAGTTAATATAGATACTGAAATTCATAATGGAATTAAAGCTAACTGAATATATGGAACATAGTTATTCTAGCAGTGATATGATTATTGTCACATTATCAATGTTCCTATACCTATAACTATAGGCCCGATGATCCAGTGGTTAAACGTAATAGTTATCTCATTAGTTACCTCTGATTCAAATCCTATCTCCCTTTTAATAAATGATAGTTCCTATTGTATACATCAATGGCTCTTTCCACACTTTTTCGGAATAAACGGGGTGAATAGGCCTCGTATAAATAAAATATAAATTTTGAAAAATTACAATATTTGAAAACGACATACATGAAGTTGGGACCAATCTCTGAACAAGGAAACCGAGTTATGTAAAAATGTTTTTATTATAAGCCTTAGCACATAACCACCCCCAGCAATGTTTCCCTCGACGTAATGCGGGGTATAATAAAGTTAGGAAAACACTAGACCTAGAGCCGTCTAATAAGCATTTAAACAAGGAAGTCGTAGACATATAGGCTCACAGTAAATTAACGTGTTTTATTAGCAGTGAGCAATGCCATGTATTAAGTACAGGCATTTGTCATATCCATATGTCGCAAGCACAGTGCATAGCAGGACAAACGAAGTCGTCTTATATTAATTCCAGCCAAATGTAGCTCGTGGTGTATTGTACCAGAAGTTGCACCAGTACTCATCTTATGCATATTAAATTTTTATTACATATTATTTTAACTGGGTGATATTTTATCTAATAAACTTCATTTAACAATGTTGGTATACTCGGTAAAACTTTGGGAACAGGCAATATTCATTGCTCATTTGCACATAATTGCGACAAAGCAGTGATCGGAATTTGTAGCTTTGACCTGATCAGACATTTTAAAGTTGTTTTAAATTGAAGTTTGACTAATATTTGACAATATTTGACTAATTGTATTTCTAACTTATTTTTACATTTAACAGTCAAATTTAGTTTACTTTTGAGATGAGTTGCTTTATTACTTAACTGTCAATCTTTGACACCATATGCTTGATGTAACCTAGCTTTGATGATGAATACCTTTCTAAAGTTTGTCTTCTTATCCTTTACCATCAGTAAGTTTTCAGAATATTATCATCGTGTTCTCTAGACTGTACGTATGTCTGGATATCTTCGACTTTTTATAATTTATATACTGTATTTCAAATAATACTATTACAAGATAGTCGGTGTGACGCCCAAAGTGGTCACATAAATATATTGTTTACCAGTTTCATTATATTGACCTAACTTTCATTTCAGCACTGGTTGTTGATGAGGTAATATTAGAGCAAGCCAACGTTGAAATTTTACCTTCAAGACACGGAAACATAACTTCTCCGGGATATCCCGATAACTTTACCTATGGGGATCGCAAAACATGGATTCTACCACACTCAACTTATTCTCATAATTCTACACTAATGCTCAGCTTTTTGGGGATGGATTTGACTTTTATATTCATGCCATACAGAAGAAAGTTTGTCATTGGAGACTTGATAATTTGGGGTTTGAACGAAACTTAAAATTCAAATGTTTCAATGTTATGATTTAGCAAAATTTAAGCATTCGAGTTTGTATTCAAAAGACTTCGAGCAGATTACTCAAAAAACTGAAACATAACTGATACAGATATCCAAAATCCAGTTTGGATCTTTTTATAACATGTTTTCCAGCACACTGAATTTGAACATGAAGTAAGCCTTAGGCTTGCACGTAATTTACGGATTTGCGGAATTACGTAATTATTTGGAGTTACGGAAGGGAAGTTACGAATTACGTAAAGTCGTAATTATTGCATTGAAACGAGCTTTCTTCAAAGCAGTCAATTTCGTCGATTGCGAAAAATGAAAGCTCAACAAGTAGAAGAAGTTAGAGTTCCGGTATTCGCAGCCGTTTTTCTCTCTTGTTACGTAGGTGAAGGAAATCATGACGCGTTGCCATTTACTAACCTATTATCAACTTCTCTGGCATGGCCAATGTAAATTATTAACGTAGTTAAGGGGGAAGAACTGAGTAGGGCCGTTTGACGCCAACACACCTGGTTTTAACTTCTCCCGTAACTTAACCGTAGATAAGGGATAGAATTGCGTTGAGACCGATTGACGCCAACACACCTGGTTTCAACTTCTCTCGCATCTTATCTAGCGTGGCCATGGCCAATGTACATAATAACCGTAGATAGGTGGAAGAATTGTATTAAGACCGATGGACGCTAACACGCCCGGTTTCAACTTCTTCGGGTGAAATGACTAATGAACGCAGGAGATCAATCTTTCAAACATGGTCTATCAAACATTTGTATCCATTTTACTTCTATTTATTATTTACTTGTTCCAGTTTTCTGTTACTTATGGTATATATGTTCCGTTTCTATTTTATTCTATTTTATAGTCACGCGTTTAAATAGTGGGAATTCCCCACCAAGTGTGGATTCTTTATTGTTAATATCAACACTTGATATATGAACATGGAATATCATACTGTATTTGGCTGTTTTATTTCAGACTTGGGGTATAAACAGGAAAATATCCATAACCTTTCAACACGACGATCTTGTGAAATTTAACGAAGAGCTTTCGCGACGAACTGGAACCAAATAAGCGGAAAGAGCGATTGATCACTCGCGCCGATACCTCGCTGTGATAATTAATGTCGCGCTTATCAAATAGCAATATGACGACAAAAGAGAGATTGCGTAATGAACCAACGCAACTTCGTCTTCTCGGCATCGGTAAAGCGATTGAGACGGCAGAGAAACAGCAAAACGACGTCCATATCCAACCACCGCTAGCACCAATACTTGCATACCGAAGTATGAAATGCAACACTAACCATATGTAGTAGAACCCCACCTGTGTAGTGATATTATCTATGGTATATATTTATGTTAGCGTCTATCACCTGTGTAGTGATATTATTTATCGTATATATTTATGTTAGTGTCTATCTTTTTTTCCCTCTATTTTTGTGTGTTGTCTATTTTTGCATACGTTTCGAAACTTGAGGGCAACCCAGTTCCCCGCCACAGACAAGGGTAGGGTAGCAGCCTATAAGTCGTGAATCCAGAAAGGTAATGCCCTAGAGCTGAAAGATAGTAGCGCGATAGAGGTAATATATTTAACTCGCTAGTTGTAGGGCAATTGGGGTTAAGTTAAATTTTATACTCAATTAAGCTAGCTTCAGGGGAATCCGCCTCGATCCCGACCGCATATTTCGGAATCGATAGATTTTGGAAAATACCACAAGCGTTAGAATACAACAATTCCGCTAGTATATAAGCGGAAAACCTATGAACAAACCCTCGAGAAGACCCCCAGGTTGATTTATGGACGAGACGTTTAACCTCTTTCACACCGGGACCCTTCAAGCCTCACTTCTGTAAAACTCCGTCTTTAAAGCCCCCTAGTCTTATTCCAAAACTATGAAAGACGTTAAATACGAACGGCGATCATGTATATTAGGAAATCCTACTCCCTGTATGATTCTGCCAATGTTTAAATACTTATAGAGAGTCTTGCACCTAGTATGATAAAACCGTTGGCCGACTATACCCACCGATGCCCAACGTGCGAATACAAAACCCCGTATGTGTCAAACTCTAATGTAGAGTGAATTGTACATAAACCTGTTTTTAATGCTTAAATATTTTTTGTATGTACATTTTTTCTGGTCAAATAAATTAAATATTAAGAGAAACAGCAAAACGACGGTTTCCTCGCGGACCGCTAAAAATTTAACTGCTATCATATATAATCAAATATGAGCCAGTGTGTTTATTCTGTGCGAGATCCATTTTCTATTACAAAATCTTGATGTTCTGTTAACGGTTTTACCGTTATATATCAGTCCGGACTTGGCCCTGCTCATGATATTTTTCACAATTCCTCTCAATATTTCGGCCATATATGTTCAACTGTCTTACCAAATGCGGCAACTTATTTTGATTTATCGTCGACTTGAATACCACCAGCACTCGACCAAACTTGTGTCAATCTTGGCCGATAGGATCGCCGACTTGAGTTAGCAAATAAATGTCGTGAGTGTAAAATAAATGTCACAAAATGCATTGTTTTGCGATATAACTTTGTATTTTCGGAGAAGGCATATCATATAAGTTCGATATTTAAATTATACTCAAATAAATAATATTTGATCTAAATTTATCGCAAATAATGTTATAAACATTCAGTCTGCGAAATGATTAAATGTAAAATGAAGCATGGTAATCGGAATATCGTCAATAAGTCGACATCAATAATTATTATTATGATATGCTAACAAGACAGTAATGTCGGATAATGCAGAAGACGCTGCAAAAACAAGTCTTCGTCGCGAGGAAATCGCAAGTATAATCAAACGAGAGAATACGCTCGTCGTTGGTTAATAAATTAGAAACCCGTAATTTTTATTCAGTACTAAGGTGGTTTTAAAAACTATCGTTTCCATAAATATCCGTATACCAGTGTCGGTAATGATAAAATAAAATTGATCGCATAAAAATGGGACGGTTAATTTGCGAAGGTGATAAAGGAAAACCAAAGCTAACACAAAACATAAATATCAGAATAAAATTAATTTGAATTCACTCCTTGATATTTGTCTTTAACATCTGCCGACGGCGTGTAGTACTGCCAAGAATATGAAAACCCAACTTCAATGTCCCATTCGGAAAAGAAGTGGATTCAATTGGTTATTATGATAGGTTTAAATGCGTGGAAAAATATCGCAATTACGGGGTCATTACGTAATTGATTTTGCCGTAATTACGGAATTGATTTTTGTCAATTACGTGCAAGCCTAGTAAGCCTATATATCATTCTGCCAATAGTTATCGTTCATTGTACTTTTCTTGTAGTAGCAAATTGATGTCGTCGTATTGACCATTTTTTGAACACTGTGCACCCAAATGTAATAAAAAAAAAGGAGTACAATAATCAAAACAATGACATCGCAACGCAGGTTTGATCTATATTGCCGAAAAAGCATCGAGATCAGTCAGAGCATCCGTGAAATAAGCATTGATTTTTTTAATTCAGATTGATAGTTAATTTGTGCAATAAAATCTATAATCTGCTGAGACTATTAAATACGTAAATCTATTATTAGGACAAAATTTAGCTCTTATGGAAGGTGGGAGCTGCGTGATACTGGAGAGGGAACACTGCCGAATTCAAACGTCACAAATCTACGAAAACTGCATTGTCTTAGGGAACTTAAAAAGAAATGCAACCTTGAAGGAAAATTTAACGATAAAATTTGTAGCAAACGGCTTCAATAAACACATGAAAGACAAAAGATTTAAAATGGGATACGAATATGTGGAATGTCCAAAAATTGAAACAAGTGAAGATTTCATCTTTATTAATATTCCATGTTCATCTTGATGCCTTCATGAAATATCTCTCTTCTATGTCTTTTGTTTTTTCTTTCTCTTTCTTTCTGGTATTTTTATCATTTCACTACTCTGCTAATTTTGTTTATGCGGGACTAACTACTTATCTTCTATGCTATGATATGAAGTCAATTATTCTAATTGATTTAAGAGTCTTGATGAACACTACAACAAATTTATTGCTGTAAGTCACTGAGAAAGCCCAACTCCAATCAGAAGAAATGTTACAGAAATATATTTAAGCCTCTCCTTTTCACCACTCTTATTTCCTTCTTCTTATTATCTATTTTTCTCTCTCGTTTCTATCGCTGTCTTCTCTCTCTCATTTTCATTTTGCGTATTTCTTCTTTCTCTAATTCTCTTATTTTACTCGTTCTCTCCCTTCTCCATCTGTCTCTATCTTTTTTTATACTGATTGCCGCTCTCTTCTCTCTATTGTGATTCCTACAACTACTTCCACTACTTCTTTTCTACAAATTCTTCATATTGGTAAATAATTTTTTTTTTACAGTTCTTTTTCAAGCTTTTTGCTCTGATCAAGGCAGTCATCTCACGATATGTATGGAGCTGCGCTTATTAAAAAGAGCCGTACTCGTTCCGGTTCGGCATTTCTCACCCAACTTATTACCCCATGGGGTAGTGGGGCATGTGATTTTTATCCCAGATGTGTTATCAGCGATGTCAACAAAATTCTATTGTATCAACCGTTGGGCAGTCGCGTTTTATACGTCTTTTTTAATTTCAGCAACTGGAGCAATAGACGAAACTACACAAATTCGTATTCTTCTTGCTTCAACAATAATATTGGGAGTTGTCGCAGCCACTGCGATAATCTGCTTAATAAGGTGACTTTTCCATTTTATTCTTATTTTGCTTTAAAATTTCATATAAATAACTGCAATGCAGCTTCAAGCAGAACATACGTTAGGCAAATTTATTTTATGAATAGTTTACAGAGACGATCATTTTTCGCCAACGGATATTTTTTGGAATATACATTTTAGCAAATGTACCTGGCTTAAAAATAAATCTTGAAATTGAATTTAGTTTAGTTCAAGTCAGTAAATCTTCATGTTTTTTATTATTTTGATGGGTAAAAACTAAAAGCTTCAAATTTGTAACCAATATTAGAATAAATAGTTGTCTAATTTGAATTATTCAATATTTATTTAATATTTGTTAATATCGTTTCATAGATTAGAAGCTGCAAACAATTTACGACAAGAAGTAAAAAAAAAGCCAGGCTGAAGAGATGAACCCGGAACAGAACCAGGAAGTGGTTGGCTATGAAAATGCCGACACGACTAGGCATTACGAAACAATTGAGCCTTATTAAAGTTCATGCTGTCGATATATATTTCGTCGCTACTGCATTTCACATTAGCGATAAAAATGAAATTTAAAAAAGCAACCAAGAATCAGATTTGGAAAATCTTTATATCTTTTGAAGACAGACCTTTAACAACTATTTCCAGTTTGTTTCAGAATTGGCTTCTGAAATTATTGTCTTTATTCCAATAAAACCACTTTTCAGCATTACGGATCTATATACAGCAAAATTAATAGTTATTCTAATAAAACACGGTGTCGAGAAGGGTATATATTAACTTTTATTGCATGACAAGCCAGCCTATTTTTGATATTGTATATATTTTTGAGACCCTGCTTGGGAGGGTTGGTTAGGTTCGGGTAAAAGCACTGTGAATCTGAATTATGATATGCTACGGATAAATTACCCCATATTTGGTCGACCCTTGACCCCGACGACAAGTCAGCCCCTGAAAGTTGTCACCTTCACATCACCTATGCTTTTCTTCATCCTCTCATTTATTTTAAAAATACCGAATTCGGGTCATTACATAACTACCGTTTCACCCCAGCTCTGTCTGTACCAATCCAACCTTCTTCCTAACAATCTCTGCGGTACACCTAACCCTCTCACCGAGCTCTTATATCGCATCTGCCTACCGTATCCCGCGTCCGAATCCTATCTAAAAACCGTCGCTACATATGACTCCCATTTTCCTCACCTCAGAAACTCCTAAACCTGAGTTGTACCTGACAAAACTTCTGATCTCCAAACGCATTCTCTGCACCTAGCCATGGTGCCCGTGTCCTTTTGCCAGTTAGGTAGTTAGAAGCATGAAAAGTGTTTTTGGCAATGGATTGGGTAGGCAGTGTGATGTCGACTAGGATTTGCAGTTTAGTTACAAATGGTGTTTGTGGTAACGAAGTGTGTTTGGTTCAAGGCAGGGAATACGGAAAAGAGAATATAGTTGCCGATGGTTGCTCAATAAAGATGTAAATAGCAGAATGTAAATGCTACATAAAATCATCTATCTGTTGTCTAGATTCGGGGTATTTATTTGTGTTTAACTATATAAACTCGAGTTACTCGACGTTGAAACAACTATGCTTGAAGCCTTGATCTCGCATGTACAGTAAAATACATCAACTCTAAGGTGCGCGGAGAAATTGATTCCTATATCTGAAGAAAATTATTTAGTCACTTTTGAGGCAGATCAGGCTCGCTCAATTCTTCTGACAGTCTTTCAACGACTTAGTGTTTTGCGCTCGAACTAGTCATTATACACGACGTTCACAAAAATTGCGAATTTAGGTTTAGATATTATTTAGTATTCCAAGTCAAAACGTCAAACCTATGCCCAATTGAGAAACTCGTTCATTAAATAAAATTGCATGTCCTGAACTAGCCCTCATACAATCTACATATTTCAGACCCTGCGTTAAAGGTAAGTAGTTAGATGAACGACACAGACTTTATGAAAAGAATCGGCGAGTGGCAGAGGAGTCACAAAATGTTGTCTGATTCAGAAAAAGAATCACAATGACAATTACGTTGCTTTTTGCTTTGCCAAAGTAAATCGAGATGACTTAGAATGTACGCAATGATGGAATTTATCTGATTTTTTTTAAATTACGAACAGGGGGCCACGAGTGCAAAAAGCTTCTGGGGGGAGGCCAAAGACATAAAATGTTGGGAATCACTGGCTTAGGGTTCGGTACAAATATGGTCTTGTGAAGGAGGTGTGGTTATAAAGGGCTTTAGGTAGAAAGTTTGTTTGGTACAGGGTACGTTTAGGGTTCAAGCATGTGTAGTCTAAATGGTTGGGAACAGGAAAGAGGATAGTTTTATGCAGAGAATGGCTGCGGAAAAAGGAAGTGGTTAGTTGCAGGTCGAGGGTTTCGAGGGCTTAGATGCGGTTAGGAAGGGGTTTGTCGTTAGGTACAAAATGGGAGTTATTGGGGAAGTGAGCGGCTTATATATATCACTCGTGATTGAGTGCAAGGTTTGGAGAACGGTGCTTTTGAACAAAGAAATGTGGGGTATAGACTAGGTAGAGAGAGTGTATTAACTACAAAGATATAATTCTTTTACTTCTAGGAGAGTTAATTATTACTGCCTTAACGTGCTTGACTACTTCTTTGTATGATTACTTATCTTGTAGATTGTAGAATGTAGATTAAATATATGTCTTAGAATATCTTTTATTGAGAGAAAGTACTTCCCTCATTCATCAGAAAGCCTGTGCTTACAACAAAATTTTGCAAAGTTTAGTGGTCACAGTTGCTCAAAGAAATGCTGAAAAGCATGAGCTCAAACTAAGACTATTCATTTTTATTTGAATTATTTTAATTAATTCCTAAATAATGATGAAATGAACAATGAAAATTGCAATAATCAAACACTTGCTATTAATATTGTAAAATTTTGAATTTTGTTTGAAATTACTCGAATTTCATATTTCTGATGCTAATGACTTCCAAACAATTTCCTATAATCTTTAGCACTTCCGTTTCGTATAAGATACGTGTATGCCCGTGTTTCATATATTGCTTACTTATATTATAACGAATTCGGATATGTAAACTATCCTAACGCATTACTATTATATAAATTACAGCGAAACAACATTCAAATATTGAGATTGTTATTTATTTCACTTTATCGTATTTTACTTTTCAATGATACACAAAAACAATTATTGGCGGTTTTATACAAGTCTGTCTGAAGCATGTTTGTGAAAGTATAAAATAAACGTGAAAAATCTAAGCAAAAGTTAATATCTCTAATATGTAAATGGGAGTTGAATACCGGTATTGCTGGTTTGTATGAAGAGAGACGCGGGTTAAACCAGGGGTGGGCACGATTTTTAGACCGGGGCCAAAAAAATTGCCCACTCAGACTGGCGGACCATGTAAGTGTCACGTAAAAAGTAACATTTTTACGAAAAATATTTACAGTGTTACAAAAGTCGAAGTGAAAAACAATGAGCCTCGTGACAAAACTAAATTTAATTACAATCTAAACGAGTTCCTTGAGCTTTTCCAAAGCTTATTATAATAATTTGGTTTTAGTTTGGTTGTGACAGCATCAGGCGGGCCAGATTGAATTACTCAACGGGCCGGATTTGACCCGCAAGACGAAGTTCGCTCATGTCTGTGTTAAACATATGTGGGCACAAAATATTTTTTCTTGAAAGAGGATAAATGCAATCAAGGCAACAACGAATGCCGATCCCAAGCCATTTAGTAAGGTAGTTGAAATTGTGCTCAACTCATAGCTGGTTTCACTTGTTGGCTATTGAAACTTCATTTACTTGTTTCAATATATATCAAGATGATTCACTAAATAACAAAAAATAAGTCATCATATTTTATTTGGATTTCCAGCTTGGCACGATGGCATAGAAGTTGAGGCGTTAAACTTGATCGTGTTAGCACGACATGTTACGCATCTCGGGTTCAAATTCTATGCGGGTTCTAAAATACATTATGATTACTGAAACATTTTTTTCTGCTTAGTAACAATGGATGACTTAAGAAAAATTTGTTCCAGCCAAAACGCGTAAAATTTCAATGTGGTGGAGGGAAATAAAATGTGTGGATAGCGAGGCATGCGTAATTCAAACAGGGTCAAAGTGCAATAGATTTTATTTACAGGCGAGCTACAAAACTAAATGGTCTTCTCTGATATCTTTAGATTGCTCAAAAGCACTGCCTAAGCCCGGAATGCGGTTTAAATCTTAAAGATATTTCACTTCTAAATTTTGAAAGAGCGTTTGAGCCGCCGTTGCTTAGGACAATTTTATGGAGCTATTTATTTACTTTGGTATGATCTTGTCCGAGGCCTAATATTCATCTGATGCTAAATATTCTCTCGAACTACGCAGGAGATGTAGCACTAGGAAATCAAGTGAGGCAAGGCGATACACACCATTGCAGTCGTGTTACTTGTGCGCAGCACAAAATTTCCATGCCGACAAAATATAAAATGATTACGCAAACTGGGTTTTTCTGCAAAGCCACAATGGGTGACTAGAAAAACTTGTTTCAGCTAAAACGCGTATAATTTCAATAGGAAATTACGTAAATGAATGCTAAATAAAAAAAAAATTTGGTCAGGAGGCGTTAGTGATAAAAGCTTCAACAAAGTCTTCTAGAAGAGAAATATGAAATTCGTCAAAATCATTTTCTTTATCTCTCTCATCTGTGGCTTTCGTGCAGAGATAAAAGTACCAGGTAAGTAAAGTTTCACATATAATTACTTGTTAGGTATACTGATTTACATGCAATTTTTATCTACATCCACATTTAGTTTTTATGGAATTAATATTCATTTCGAAAAATAGCACATTCAACTATTCCCTCAATTATTTTAAAATACTTCGTTTTATTTTTAACAGCTGGATCCTGCGTTTCCAAGATCGTGAACGGGAAACTCGTCCAAGTTGGAGATTGCAAGGTAAAATAAAGTTGCTATTTTTCATCAGATGTTCTTCAACTCCAAATAAAGCTTTGGGCAAGCACTCAATAATGAAACTATTTTTAGGGGTTGGAAGCCGTATATTTCGGCCCAATGATAATTGACTGACCCGCTTTGAAACACGGCATATAATGTAAACACTAATATAATCTAAAACTACCTACGTGATATAAATACTTAACGAATTTTGTATTTATTTCACAGAAAAACGATGGATCCGGTGAGTTTGCCCTACTTCATGATATATTTTTTATAAATATTTAATCTGGTGACCGTAAACAAATGATATACTTTTGATGGTGATCCCGAAGTATGCGAACCAAGATGGCGGACATCGGAACGTAACATGGGTAACAGGTTAGGGATAGGCGATAATTTTTTCCAATTTTTCTTATTTTAGTCCTATTATCAGTTCGAAGACTAGCCAAGAGCCTCCCGTAGTATTTATACCTAAAATTATGGCCTAACCCTAACCTAGTACACATATTACATTCCGATGTCCGCCATCTTGGTTCGCATAATTCGGGAGCCCACTTTTGATTCATAATTCCAGAATGGTCCATAAAACTCTTGACGTTTTATTCAGTTAACGTATACAGCGGTTATGGTTTTTTGTCCTACTTCATAATATATATGTTTTAAAAATACTAAAATTTCCTTTCATCTCTATTTTGAAAAATGCTTTAAACAAGCAGCTACTATTAGATAATAATCTATTATTTTTTTTAAGTAACAGGATTCCTCTGGTCTGGCATATATTCAATTTGTTACAAACTGGTGGGCATCACGCCTTATAT